TCCTGAAGGAGCTCAACATCCAGGTGGACGACGGCTACGCCCGCAAGATCTTCAGGGTGAGGCGGGCGGCTGTGCGCATGCGTGCCCAGGGTGAGGTGGGGCGGGCGGCTGTGCGCATGCGTGCCCAGGGTGAGGTGGGGCGGGCGGCTGTGCGCATGCGTGCCCAGGGTGAGGTGGGGCGGGCGGCTGTGCGTGTGTGCGCGTGTGTGTGCGCGTGTGCCCAGGGTGAGGCGGGGCGGGCGGCTGTGTGTGTGTGTGTGTGTGTGTGTGTGCCCAGGGTGAGGCGGGGCGGGCGGCTGTGCGTGCGTGTGCGTGTGCGTGCCCAGGGTGAGGCGGGGCGGGCGGCTGTGTGTGTGTGTGTGTGTGTGCGTGCCCAGGGTGAGGCGGGGCGGGCGGCTGTGCGTGCGTGTGTGCGTGTGCACGTGTGCATGTGTGTGTGCGTGTGCGTGCCCAGGGTGAGGCGGGGCGGGCGGCTGTGCGTGCGTGTGCGCGTGTGCACGTGTGCGTGTGTGTGCGCGTGTGCGTGCCCAGGGTGAGGCGGGGCAGGCGGCTGTGTGTGTGTGTGTGTGTGCCCAGGGTGAGGCGGGGGCGGCTGTGTGTGTGTGTGTGTGTGTGCGTGTGCATGCCCAGGGTGAGGCGGGGGCGGCTGTGCGTGTGTGTGCGCGTGTGTGTGCCCAGGGTGAGGCGGGGGCGGGCGGCTGTGTGTGCGTGTGTGTGTGTGTACGTGCCCAGGGTGAGGCGGGGCGGGCGGCTGTGTGTGTGTGTGTGTGTGCCCAGGGTGAGGCGGGGCGGGTGGCTGTGTGTGTGTGTGTGTGCCCAGGGTGAGGCGGGGCGGGCGGCTGTGCGTGTGTGTGTGTGTGTGCGTGCGTGTGCATGCCCAGGGTGAGGTGGGGGCGGGCAGCTGTGTGTGTGTGTGTGTGTGTACGTGCCCAGGGTGAGGCGGGGCGGGCGGCTGTGTGTGTGTGTGCGTGCCCAGGGTGAGGCGGGGCGGGCGGCTGTGCGTGTGTGTGTGTGTGTGCGTGCGTGTGCATGCCCAGGGTGAGGTGGGGGCGGGCAGCTGTGTGTGTGCATGCGTGTGCGTGCCCAGGGTGAGGCGGGGGCGGGCAGCTGTGTGTGTGCGTGTGTGTGCGTGCCCAGGGTGAGGCGGGGGCGGGCAGCTGTGTGTGTGTGTGTGTGCGTGTGTGTGCCCAGGGTGAGGCGGGGGCGGGCAGCTGTGTGTGTGTGTGTGTGTGCGTGTGTGTGCCCAGGGTGAGGCAGGGGCGGGCAGCTGTGTGTGTGTGTGTGTGTGCGTGTGTGTGCCCAGGGTGAGGCGGGGGCGGGCAGCTGTGTGTGTGTGTGTGTGTGCATGTCTATGCCCAGGGTGAGGCGGGGAGGGGCCGGCTGTGCAGGGCAGTGCTGGGTCCCTGTCCCAGGCGCAGGGTGAGTGGGGAGGGTCGCTGGGCCCCCCGCCAGGCGCAGGGTGAGTGGGGAGGGGCCCCCCCGCCAGGCCAGCGCAGGGCCGTCTGAGCCCCTCCCCGCCATCCCGCCAGGAGTGCGACCGCTCGCAGACGGACTCCCTGGAGGATGAGGAGATCGAGGCCTTCTACAAGATGCTGACGCAGCGGGAGGAGATCGACCGGGCCTTCGCCGAGGCCGCGGGCTCCGGCCAGACCCTGTCCGTGGACCAGCTGGTGGGCTTCCTGCAGCACCAGCAGCGGGAGGAGGCGGCGGGGCCCGCGCTGGCCCTCTCCCTCATTGAGCGCTACGAGCCCAGCGAGACGGGTGAGGGCCTCCCCGGCGCGGCCGCTCCCAGGCCCGGCCTCAGCGCCGCTCTGGGCCTGGTTTCCCGCCCCCAAGACGCCAAGACAGGTGCAGGGCAAGCACGAGGAGGCGGCCCCTCGCTCGGTCACTGCGGGCCGAGCTGGTGGCCCGTCAGGCAGGCAGCGGGCAGGGGGCTCCTCCGTCCAGGGCGGCGGGTGGCCAGGAGGGGCCTGCGGGCCGGCCCTGACCTGCGCCCTCGCCTGCCCCAGCCAAGGCGCAGCGGCAGATGACCAAGGACGGCTTCCTCATGTACCTGCTGTCAGCCGACGGCAGCGCCTTCAGCCGCGAGCACCGGCGGGTGTACCAGGACATGGGCCAGCCGCTCAGCCACTACCTGGTCTCCTCGTCCCACAACACCTACCTGCTGGAGGACCAGCTCACCGGGCCCAGCAGCACCGAAGCCTACATCCGGTGTGCCGAGGGACGCCTGGGGGCGGGAGCCGGGGGGGGGAGCTTGGGGTGGGAGCCTGGGGGGGCCCAGGACCCAGCCCCAGGGGTCCTAGCTCTGCCCACCCCCGCCAGGGCCCTGTGCAAGGGCTGCCGCTGCTTGGAGCTCGACTGCTGGGACGGGCCCAGCCTGGAGCCGGTCATCTACCACGGTTACACGTTCACGTCCAAAATCCTCTTCTGCGATGCGCTCAGGGCCATCCGGGACTACGCCTTCAAGGTGCTTGAGCCCCCACCCCACCCCAGGGGCGGGGCTTAGCAGGGGCCCCGCCTCCTAACGAGCGCCCGCCCCCAGGTGTCCCCCTACCCCGTCATCCTGTCCCTGGAGAACCACTGCAGCCTGGAGCAGCAGCGCGTGATGGCGCGGCACCTGCGCACCCTGCTGGGCCCCATGCTGCTGGACAGGCCGCTGGACGGGGTCACCAGCAGCCTGCCCTCCCCCGAGGTAGGCGGGGCGGGGAGGGGCGTGGGGGTGTGGCTGCGAGGCCGGCAGCTTGACCGGGCGCCCCTCACTGCTAGCAACTGAAAGGCAAGATCCTGCTGAAGGGCAAGAAGCTGGGGGGGCTCCTGCCCTCCGCGGGGGAGGGCGGCCCCGAGGCCACCGTGGTGTCGGACGAGGACGAGGCCGCCGAGATGGAGGACGAGGCGGTGAGGAGCCGCGTGCAGCACCAGCCCAAGGTTCGCGGGGGAGCAGTGGGGCGGGGCGGCCCCGCGGGCTGCTGCCCGGCTCGGCTCTCAGACCCTCTGCCCCTCTCTCTGTCTGTCGCCCTGTCCGTGTCTGTGTGTCTGGGTCTCTGGCTCTCTCAGCGCCTCCTCTGCCCCACCCTCTCTGACTCTAACCTGGGCCTCCCCGCGGCCCCCAGGCGGACAAGGTCAGGCTAGTGCAGGAGCTCTCGGACCTGGTCATTTACTGCAAGAGCGTCCACTTCGACGGCTTCTCCAGCCCCGGCACGCCCAGGCGGGCTTTCTACGAGATGATGTCCTTCTCGGAAAACCGCGCCCTCCGCCTGCTGCAGGAGTCGGGTGAGGCCTGGGGGCTGTCCCCTGTCCCCTGCCCGGCCAGCAGGCAGAAGCAGCGGGAGGCCGCGTGGGCCCACCACCCTCCCCCTCCTGACCGTACCACACCTGCCCTCAGGAAACAGCTTTGTCCGCCACAACGTGGGCCACCTGAGCAGGATCTACCCGGCCGGCTGGAGGACGGACTCCTCCAACTACAGCCCCGTGGACATGTGGAACGGGGGCTGCCAGATCGGTAAGGGCGGGCTGCGGCGGGGGCCGGCGGGACTGCTCAGTGCTGCCCGGAGGGCCCCCCCACTGGCCAGCAAGTCCCGGTGTCTGGCATCCCGCGGGGGATTCTGGCACCAGGCACGGGGTGTGTGGTCGGTGCCGAGGGGCAGGGGGGTTGCACCTGCTTCCAGCTCGCTGTGTGACCCCGGCCCCAGCGTGCCCCGAGCAGCCCGCTGCTGGCCCACAGCCTGTGGCTGCTCTGTCCTGCCTCTAGTGGCCCTGAACTTCCAGACGCCGGGGCCAGAGATGGACGTGTACCAGGGCCGCTTCCTGGACAACGGGGCCTGTGGCTATGTGCTGAAGCCAGCCTTCCTGAGAGACCCCAACACCACGTTCAACGCCCGTGCCCTGGCCCAGGGGCCCTGGTGGGCTCGGAAGCGGCTCAGCATCAGGGTACGGCCCGGTGCAGGAGGGGCGGGTGCCCGTGGCCTGCCTCCCCGCCCCCTCGCCACCACACCCGAGCCCCAGCTGTCCCCTGCTGTTCCTAGGTCATCTCCGGCCAGCAGCTCCCGAAAGTCAACAAGAGTAAGAATTCCATCGTGGACCCCAAGGTGACGGTGGAGATCCACGGCGTGAGCCGGGACGTGGCCAGCCGCCAGACCGCGGTCGTCACCAACAACGGTACGTGCAGGGTCCCTGCCGAGCCTGGCTCCCGGAGCCCGCGCCCTCCCCGCTGACGCGGTGCCGGTGCCGGTTCCGTAGGCTTCAACCCGCGGTGGGACACGGAGTTCGAGTTCGAGGTGGTGGTGCCGGAGCTCGCCCTGGTCCGCTTCGTGGTGGAGGATTACGACGCCTCCTCCAAGAACGACTTCATCGGCCAGAGCACCATCCCCCTCGGCAGCCTCAAGCAGGGTGAGTCCCGGGCGAGGACGGGAGGCGAGGCCCGGCTGGCGGCCGCGGGGCAGCCGGCTGAGTGCTGCTTCCTGCCCGCCAGGGTACCGCCATGTCCACCTCCTGTCCAAGACCGGAGACCAGCACCCGTCGGCCACCCTCTTTGTGAAGATCTCCCTCAAGGACTAGGCCCGGGGGTCCCGCGGGGTCTCTCTCCGCCCGCCACGGGGGCAGCGCTGCTGCGGCTGCTCCGAGCTGGAGGCCCCGCGCCGCGGACGGCGCCGCTGTGTCGTCCTCGCTGCTGCTGTCCGGAGCCAGGGGTGGCCGGGTCCCTGGAGCTGTCCTCGATTCCGTTAGCACCAGCACCGCGGCCGCGCGCCCTGGAGCCGGCCCTAGGTCAAGGGTTTTTATAAAAATCACACTAAGACTGAGCCCTGTGGTTTGTTTACCTGCACACCAGAAGCTCCCTGTGAGGGTGTGTGTGTGTGTGTGCATGCGTGTGTGAACATGTATGTGTGTGCACATGTATACACATGTATGTGTGCGTGTGTGTGTGTGTCCCAACAGCACCTCCTGTTGCCCCGTCCCCACGTTCACCCTGGGTGTTCTGGAGACACGAGCCAGACACAAACCCCGGCAGGACAGGGTGCAGAGAGCACTGACAGCCCTGGCCCCAGAGAGGCCGTGAGGCACAGGCCCCAGCTTTTATTGACGGGTCGCTGCCCTGACGGTGCGGCGGGGGACCGGGATGGCTTCGCCGTGCGGGTGGCGCGGGCAGGGCCTGCGCTCAGAAGAAGCCCAGCTGCTGTTTCTCCCGCTGCTGCCTCCACTTGGCCATGCTGTAGAACTCCTCCTTGGATTTCCCAAAGAGGTCTTGGAAGTCCGAGTCTGAGAGGTAAAACTGGGGGGGGGGGGGGGCGTGCCTGAGCCCAGAATCCAGGGCTGGCGGCTGGAGCCCCCCCGGCCTCCGGCTCGGCGTGGGCGCAGCAGGGTCTGGGCACTCACCTCCTTGCGGGTGGGGTCCACGCCCTCGGGCAGGTCCTCCGCCGCCTGGTGCATGAGCCTGTCCCGGGGCAGGGCCCCGCTGACCGCCCTGGGGCCCCGCTCTGGCTGGCTCTCGGAGCTGTCCTGGGAGCCTGCGGGGGCCTGCGGAGCCACGGGACCCGGCCTGCCCTTGACCAGCTGGGAGAGCTGGAAGTTGCTGACTTCCTGTCCGGAGAGGGGCCTCAGGCTGGGGAGATGGGGAAGAGGCAGCCCCCGGAGGCCGCCCTGGAGCCTGGGGCCCCCCATCTCCATCCCCGCCCTGGCCCTGCCCACCACGTGGGGGGTGCCGTACTCACCGCTGTGACCTCAGAGAGGGCGGGGGCTGCCCCCGAGCTGGCCTCCACCACCTCCTGGGAGGACTGGTTGCCCTGGGGCAGGAGGATGAGCACCGTGGGAGGGGCCTGAGGCGGAGGACCCAGCCAGGGCGGGCCCCTCCCCTGGAGTGAGGGAGGGGTGGGGGAAAGAGGGTGTAGCCCCTCCCCTGGAGTGAGGGAGGGGTGGGGGAAAGAGGGTGTAGCCCCCTCCCCTGGAGTGAGGGTGGGGGTGGGAGTAAGAGGGTGTAGCCCCTCCCCTGGAGTGAGGGTGGGGCTGGGAGTAAGAGGGCGTAGCCCCCTCCCCTGGAGTGAGGGTGGGGCTGGGGATAAGAGGGTGTAGCCCCCCCCTGGAGTGAGGGTGGGGCTGGGAGTAAGAGGGTGTAGCCCCTCCCCTGGAGTGAGGGTGGGGCTGGGAGTAAGAGGGCGTAGCCCCCTCCCCTGGAGTGAGGGTGGGGCTGGGAGTAAGAGGGTTAGCCCCTCCCCTGGAGTGAGGGTGGGGCTGGGAGTAAGAGGGTGTAGCCCCTCCCCTGGAGTGAGGGTGGGGCTGGGAGTAAGTGGGTGTAGCCCCTCCCCTGGAGTGAGGGTGGGGCTGGGAGTAAGAGGGCGTAGCCCCCTCCCCTGGAGTGAGGGTGGGGCTGGGAGTAAGAGGGTGTAGCCCCCTCCCCTGGAGTGAGGGTGGGGCTGGGAGTAAGAGGGCGTAGCCCTCCCCTGGAGTGAGGGTGGGGCTGGGGGAAAGAGGGCGTGGGCCTCACTCACCGTCCACCTGTAGGGGTCCCAAGACGAGAACCAGCCGGTGAAGGTGGGAGGCTCTCGGGCCTGCCTGACCAGCAGGATGGGCGTGGCCAGGCTCCTCCCTGCCGGGTGGGTTTCCAGGTACTCCCGGCCCCAGGCCACCAGCGCTGCCTTCCGCTCACCTGCGGCTGCCCCGAGCCACAGGAAGATCTGGGCCACAGAGGGGCGTGGCTGTGGGCAGGGTCCTCCCAGAGCCGCCCCTCCCGCCCTCCCCGTGTCCGTCAGACGGTGTCAGAGCCCCCCACGCAGCCCCGGCCACACACACACACACACAGGTCGCGGGCACTCGGTGTGCATGTGGTCAGTCCACGGACAGTGACTGGGCCCCTGCTGTGTGCCCTCTTCAAGGTCCTGGGGACGGGACAGTGGGAGAACCATGGAACGTGCCTGGGAGTGGCCAGTGTAGGGGAGGAGAGTGGCCAGTATATGTGGGGGGAGTGGCCAGTGTTTGGGGGGGGGAGTGGCCGGTGTATGGGGGGGAGTGGCCGGTGTAGGGGGGGAATGGCCAGTGTGGGGGGGAGTGGCTGGTGTAGGGGGGGAGTGGCCGGTGTAGGGGGGGAGTGGCCGGTGTATGGAGGGAGTGGCCGGTGTGGGGGGGGAATGGCCGGTGTAGGGGGGGGAGTGGCTGGTGTAGGGGGGGGAGTGGCCGGTGTAGGGGGGGAGTGGCCGGTGTGGGGGGGGGAGTGGCTGGTGTGGGGGGGGGAGTGGCTGGTGTGTGGGGGGGAGTGGCCGGTGTAGGGGGGAGTGGCCGGTGTAGGGGGGGAGTGGCCGGTGTATGGAGGGAGTGGCCGGTGTATGGGGGTGCAGGGTTTTCCCCACAGCAGGAATGGCCATAGCGAAGGCGCCTACACACTCTGGGAATGTGGCCGGGGAAGTGGGAGGGGACGGCCTGAGGTGGCTGGCCAGGCCACACAGGGATGGAGGAAGGGCTGAGGGACATGGGGGCCTGTCACGTCACCCCCACACCACAGAGAGGGACACAGCCACTCAGCGGTGCGCTGAGACCACAGGCACGCACACCTAGCGGGAGTGCAGCGGTACTGCTGGCAGCCGCACAAGTACAGCCACCCAGTCCCGCACAGCCTCACCAGCCCTAACTGCTGCGGCTGTCCCCACAGTCCCCAGGACAGCCGGACACACACACACACACACACACACAGTGGTCAGCCCTCTAGTCACTCGCTCAGCCCACCCCAAACATCTCACAGCCACACGTGTCGCCACGCAGCCTCCCTGTGCCCAGCCCGGGTCTGGCTGCAGGCGCGCCCGGTGCCCGCCCGCCTCACCTCCTGCCAGGTGTCCAGGAGCAGGACGTCGTGCTGGTCCAGGTCCTCCTGGCTGAAGGACGCCACCTCGGAGAGGACCAGGCGGCCCCTCGGGCTGCGGCACTCAAACAGCCGGGGCTGGAAGCCGGACGCCGCCTCCGGGAGCCTGCGGGGCAGCCTGAGCCACACCCAGGGCCGGGGACGCACCCTGCGCCCGCACCCACCCCACCACTCGCTCCAGGAGCACCCTGGGCCCTGGGCTCCCCTCCTGGCTGGCAGTGCACAGAGCAGACAGGAGGCCTGTGTGGCCCAGGCCAGCGGTGCAGCAGCTCCCAGGAAGCTCCCAGGAGTGGGCGGAGCTGCAGGCCAGCTGTCCCCGGGAAGGGAGGCGCTCTGGGCCCGGCAGGAGGGAATCGAGGCTGGAAAGGGGCCAAGGACCCGGGGGCGAGCAGTGCATGGCCCAGGACACTGAGGCCAGCAGGGGGCCTGTGGCCCTGGGGTTGCCCGCCCAGGGTCACAGCAACACTGGGAGCTGATTCAGCCAGCAGAGGGCGCCATGGCCCAGCTCCCGCATCCTCCAGCTTCAAGTCCCAGGGATGGCGGGGGGCGGGACACAGCCCCGGTCCCAGCCCCAGCCCCAGCCCTGCCTCACCCCGTCTACCTCTTCTTGCTGGGGTAGGGGGCTCGGCCTCCCAGGGCCTCCCAGAAGTGGGGAGGCTCCTGACCCTCCACCGTCACTTCCTCGTTCTGCGAGATGACCGTGGCCACTGTGCGTGCCATCTCCCGCTGGTCGCCGCTGCAGCCCTGGCGGGCACAGGGCTGGGTCAGGGCCCACAGGCGGCAGGGTCTCCGCTCCAGGAGGGGTCCGCCCCCCCTGCCCTGCAGGCCTGTTTCCCCGGCTCATCAGCGCACAGGGTCTGAGCCCTTCCCTGGGTCCAGAGCAAAAATGCAACCCCCCCCCACCCCCCGTCTGGGGTCAGCCGTGGTTTCTGTCCAGCATCACAGAAAACTCCAGCCCGCCGCGCGAGGCCCCGCCCTCTCGAGTGAGACGTGGGGTGGCCACGGCTCCTGCTCCAGCCAGCGGGCTGTGACGCGAGCACCCTCAGGTCCACCTGCCACTGGTGGCTTCCCGGGGCCTCTCCCTGCCTTCCCCACCCTCACCCCCATTGGCTGCTTGAAGCCTGTGTGCCCTGTTCAGGGAGCACGTCCCTGGCCCAGGCAAAGGTCAGGTCAGTGCAGCCCGCACCTTCCCAAACCAGAGGTAGCACACAGTGGCTGTGAGCAGCAGGAAGACGTCGCTGGAGCGGAGCGCCGAGGCCCGGGCTGGCACCTCCATGGTGCTGGTGCTGTGCGGCTCAGTGCCCTGCACGTGGAACAGCCTGGGGGTGGGTGCCGGCTGCTCCTGGCCGCCGTGGCCAGCGCTCCCCTGCAAGAGTTTGGGCCTCAGGCTGCGGCAAGGCCTCCAGGGGCCACCTCCCCGCTCCTGTGGGCTCAGACTGCCTGGTGGCTCAGGGTCCAGGCTCGGAGCCACTGCTCCGCTGCACCCTGTGGGCAAGGGGAGCCGATGGTTCAGGAGAAGCAGGCTTTTCTAACCGAGTCCTCAGCCCCCGCCGAGGGCTCAGGGCACGGTGCCCAGGCCTCGAAGGTGGAGTGGAGAAGCACCTGGCCCCTGGCCACCCCGCTGACTCAGTTTCCCGGCTGTGCTCCTGGCTCGTAGGTGGGCAGCACCCTCGGAGCTCCTGGGCCAGGGCCAAACCCCAGGAGGGCCTGGGGGATGGTCAGCTGGCCCCAGCCCGGGAAGGGGCTTTGAAAGCTGTGCCACTGGAGTGAGGCGGGCCCTACCTGGAAGACCACCAGCCGGCCCCGGAACATGGCGAGGAAGTGGGGGGGCTCGCTGCCCATGGTCACGTGCACCTGCACCAACGCTCCCTGGTACGCCAGCTCCAGCTCCTCTGCGTTGTGGGTCAGGGCCCGGACGTCAGCGGCGGAGGCCTGGTGGCCCTGCAGGCAGGGGAGGTGATGACCTGGCGCAGCGCTCATGTCCAGTCTCACGTCCCAGCCCTTGGACTTGCGGTTCACACGCCCCCCTCCCCCGGGCCAGCGCACCTGCCACAGGTACAGGATGTAGTGGACAACACCCAGCCTCTCGTAGGTGTAGAGGATGAGGTAGCAGTTGCCTGCACACAACCGGCCGTGATGCTTGGAGTCCACGGGCTGCCTGCGTGAGTCCTGGAGGCACCACACCTGTAGGGACCCAGGGGCACAGGTGGCTGCTCTGCCAGAACCAGCCACAAAGCTGCCCCCGCGCCTGGCTCTGCACCCTGCCGGGCCTGTGCCAGGATCTGCACGTGCCTCTCCCCCAGGGGCCCAGGACCGAGCCTGGACCCCGAGTGTGTGTGGCACCCAGGTAAACACATGGCTGGGCACGAGGGGCTGCCGCTGCCACGCGCCCAGCCACGCCCGTCCCGGCCCCACCAGCCACAGCCCTGCTGGCAGTCACCGCGGCAGAAGCGAGGCAGGAAGTGAGGCCTGCAGTTCACGGCCAATGTCCCCCTTCCAAGTGTGACTTAGAAAAACAAAGGCTGCTCAGAGACCGAAGGGAGCCCGCGCTGGGTGGGCAGCGAGACCCCTCCTAACTCCCGTTTCTCTGGCCCACCAGTCGGGGGTCGCAGCCCCGCCTCACGTGAGTAGCAGGAAGCCGTGCCACACGGAGCCTCACGGCCGCCTGAGAGCGCAGAGCCCGGCCCAGCCCACGCGCTGCCCGAGGACACCGGCAGCCAGCCCTCCTGGCTCGGGCCTCCGTCCCTGCCCCCGCCTCGCTCTTGGAGCCTGGGTCCCGGAGCCCTCCTTCCTTCCCTGTCTGGCCCTCCGCTCTGCTGGCCTGCCTGCCTGCCACTGCCTGCCCCGTGTTCGTTCCCATCCCCCCACTCTCCCCCTACCTGTCTCCTCCCGTCTCCCTGGCTCCTGCCCCCCCCCCCCCGGCTCCTGCCCCGTCTCCCTGGCTCCTGCCCCGTCCTCCTCTCTCCCTGCCCCCCCTCCCTGCCCCCTCCTCCTCTCTCCCTGCCCCGTCCTCCTCACTCCCTGCCCCCCCTCCCTGCCCCCTCCTCCTCTCTCCCTGCCCCGTCCTCCTCACTCCCTGCCCCCCCTCCCTGCCCCCTCCTCCTCTCTCCCTGCCCCCTCCTCCTCTCTCCCTGCCCCCTCCTCCTCTCTCCCTGCCTGCCTCCTTGTCCCGTCTCATCTCCTCCCTCCCCGGCTCTCTCCAGTCCCTGGCTCTGTGCATCCGCAGCAGAGCACGTGCCTAAAGGAAGCCAGGGCCCTGTGTGGGGCCCAGCAGTTCCTGTGGCAGCTCTGCTCGGTTACTGTGCCCATGTGTCTGCACTACGTACGGACGGGTCAGCAGGAAGCGGGGTGCACGGGCCAGCAGTAGCAGGGTGTGTACGGGCCAGCAGTAGCAGGGTGTGCACGGGGCAGCAGTAGCAGGGGTGTGTACGGGGCAGCAGTAGGCAGGGTGTGCACGGGCCAGCGGTAGGCGGGGGTGTGCACGGGCCAGCGGTAGGCGGGGGTGTGTACGGGCCAGCGGTAGGCGGGGGTGTGTACGGGCCAGCGGTAGGCGGGGGTGTGCACGGGGCAGCGGTAGGCGGGGGTGTGTACGGGCCAGCAGTAGCAGGGAGTGCACAGGCCAGCGGTAGGCAGGGGTGCGCATGGGGCAGCGGTAGGCAGGGTGTGTATGGGGCAGCAGTAGGTGGGGTGTGTACGGGGCAGCAGTAGGCGGGGGTGTGTACGGGGCAGCAGTAGGTAGGGTGTGTACGGGGCAGCAGTAGCAGGGTGTGTACGGGGCAGCGGTAGGCAGGGTGTGCACGGGCCAGCGGTAGGCGGGGGTGTGCACGGGCCAGCGGTAGGCGGGGGTGTGCACGGGCCAGCGGTAGGCGGGGGTGTGCACGGGCCAGCAGTAGCAGGGTGTGCACGGGGCAGCAGTAGGTAGGGTGTGCACGGGGCAGCAGTAGGCAGGGGTGTGTACGGGGCAGCAGTAGCAGGGAGTGCACGGGGCAGCAGTAGGTGGGGTGTGCACGTGCACGGGTGGCCCTGCTGCACACGCGGGGCCCCAGCTCACCGCAGCAGGGCCTGACCCCCGCAGCCACTGCTCTCACCTCCACCTTCCCGGACGCGTCGTCCACCATCCTGAGCTGGGCGGCTAGCTCAGGCTGGCTGTGCAGCCTGCCCGAGTCCAGCTTGACCTGAACCGCCGCGCCTGAAGGAGGGGCAGAGCGTGTCAGCGGCCCCACGGCCCTGTGGCCGCCCCGCTCCGCCAGGCCCCTTCCCCCAGCCCGGCGGGGACCCCACTCCAAGGACTCCGCCGCCCTTGGTTTCTGCCAGGCCCCGCCCACTTATAATAGGCCCCGCCCCGGCTCTGCCCTCTGCCCGCTTATCCCTCTGGCCCCTCTCCCGCAGGACCCCGCCCCTCCCCCGCCAGCCCCTCCCCCGCCAGCCCCGCCCCCGCCAGGCCCCGCCCCGCCAGGCCCCGCCCCGCCCCTGCCGCTCACCCCGCCCGCCCGGCCGCCGGGGCCCGCCGGGCGCCCTGGACCACGTCCGGAAGAGCTGTTGGAACGCAGCCGACTCGGCGCCGTCGTGCAGCACCTCCACGTTGGTGTACATCGGGTAGCCCTTGGCCCGGATGAAGCCCTGGCGCGGAGGCGGCGTCAGCCGGCACACGAGGGCCCCGCGCCCCGCTGCCCACCGCACCCGGGCACCTCCCGCGAGGCCCTGAAGCAGCCAGGTCGGCCGCTGCCCTTCCCCGAGGACCCCCGGCCCGGGCCTGGGGCAGCTGGCCGCCACGGGCAGAGGCGAGAGCTGCCCCCAGGCCTCGCTCCGCCGCTCCCACCCCAGAGCAGGGCGAGGTCCCCTCGCGCGGGCCTCACCTCCGCCCGGCTGAAGGCCGCCCGCTTCTCTGGGAGGCTGCACCTGCGGCCCTGCCACACGAAGATCTTCGAGCCGGCCTGGTCCAGGATGTAGCAGGCCTGGGAGCAAGGACGCGGCTGCCAGGACGGGTGCAGGCTGGGATGGGGCGGGCGGGGCCGGCCAGGACAGGTGCAGGCTGAGATGGGGGCTGGGGGCTGGGGGCTGGGGGGGCCGACCAGGTCAGGTGCAGGCTGGGATGGGGGATGGGGGATGGGGGCTGGGGGCCGGGGGGGGGGGCCGGCCAGGTCAGGTGCAAGCTGGGCCAGGACAGGGTGCAGGCTGGGCCGGGGCGGCTGGGGCCGGCCGTCTCACCTCCTCCTGCAGCAGGTCCTGGGTCAGCGGCTGAGTGGCCACCTCCTGGATCACCAGGTCCTCGCCCTCCTCGAAGATGCTGCAGAACAGGCGGCAGGTGTGGCCCAGCCCCTTCCGGTGCCCCACCCCCACCCCGCGGCAGAGGGGCTGTGGCCGCGCTGTGGTCCCGCCTGCGGGCAGCAGTTCCCCGTGGGTACCACGCTGAGGCCGTCACGCACCGTGCCGCAGAGCAGGCTGGGCCCAGGGTCCCACGGGGCCTGTCCCAAACCCCCCACCCTCTGGAGGGCTCGCTAGGACCCTGTGCTACTGCAGTGATGACGGCCCTTTGTCCCGGCCGCGGCCGCCCCAGGGCTGCTCACCGGGAGAGGCGGACCGTGGCCTCGTGCGGCCGGGCGGTGCTCTTGGTGGGCACCCCGGCGTGCAGGCTGCCCGGTCTGCGGCCCAGCACAGCCTCCATGATCTGCATGAGGTCGCCGGCTTCGCCCTCGTCCTCCACCACCCCGATCTGTGCGCGACCTCCGCGCTCCCTGTCCCGGAGACTGCGGGTCAGGGCCAGCGCCTGTGGGAGGGGACCCGCGGTCAGGCCCTCCCAGCATGCCCTAGCCACCCCCAGGCCCAGAGGCGGCAGGTGGAGGCGCAGGTGCCCCTCGTCCTCGCCCCTAGGGGCCCCACCAGCTGGTGCCTAGCAGGTGCGTCTCCGGCCGTGCTGGGGAGGCTGGGCGCCGAGCACCACCCCACTCCGCGAGCCCCGAACCCCGCAGCTGGGCAGACACTGACCCGGGACTTCTCGGAGGCGCTGGTCTTGGGCCCATTCCACTGGATCATCACCTTGCCCAGGTCCAACAGGAAGACAGCCCCCTTGTTAAAGCTGTTCCAGGACAGCTCCACCTGCCGGAGCCAGAGGGTCAGAGAGAAATCCCACCAGCTCCCACGGGGGACAGCAGCGCTGGCCAGGCCCCTGCGCGCGGGCGTGCCCCTGTGCGGCCTGGAGGCGTGCTCTGTGGTATGTGCAGCGGCTCAGGTGTGTGTGTGATCTGTTTGTGTGCTTATATGTGCACGCGTACATACATGGGGTGCAGCAAGTGTGAACACGTGTATGTACTCCTGGAGCCGGTGACCGCCCTTGCTGGGGACACCTGTGCTTGTGGACAGAAGGTTCCCACCAAACTGACACGCTCCGGGGGAGAAAGGGAGGCCCCGTGCACAGGACGCCGGGTCACTGGGCGAAGCCTGGGCGTGGGCTCTCTGCTGTGTGTGGGTGACAGTGACGGGGCCACCCCAGGCTGCAGGCTGTGACATGCACAGCGCAAACGCTGCCCTGCGCCCTGCATGCCTGGATGCCGGCCGCACCGAATGCTAGCCGGGTGGCAACGAGAGGGCTGGCCCTGCAAGCTCAGCGTTCCCTGGGTTTCCTGACAGATGGGAGCCAGGGCGCTCTGTCCCACTTCGCCCGAGGAGCGCTCGGGAGCAGAGGAGACGGCGCGTGTGCCCGGGGTGACGGCGACGACGTGTGTGAGAGGCGGGCGAGGCCCCTCCCGCACGCACCCTGCTCCTCCGGGTGCTGCTTCCCAGGCTGACCCCGGAGGCCGACAAGGAGGCAGAGGGCCCAGGGTGGGCTGACGCCCGGCCCCACCCTCTCATTCCAGTCAGGCCCTCTGGAGCGGTCACTGCGCCCCACACCCCCAGTCCGCATGCTCGGACACTGTGCGGGCCGTGTGCAGAGGCAGGCGGCGCCCCCGCAGCCCTCACCTCGGTGGCCGAAACGTGCTTTGTGCCCCGGACGTGCAGTAGCCGCTGGATGTCGTACGTGTTGGTCTGGACGTGCCTGTGGTCGGAGGGTAGGGCTCCCTTCCTGTAGCTGGGGGGACAGGGGCCCGCTGAGTGCACACACTGCGGCGGACTTCGCCCGTCTGCCTGCACAGGGACGCTCGCGGGGCCCAGTGGTGTCCACCCTCGTGCAAGAGGGGGTAGAGGCACCGAGTGTGCCTGTTTGTCCACGTGAGTCTAGACGCCTGCAGGTGCCCGGGCGCCCCTTCACACCCGCGTGTAAGGACGCCCAGCCACAGGTGGGCACGCAGGGGCCGTGCACGCGTTTGTGTGCGGACTGCAAGGATGTGTCAGGCTCAGCTGGGAGAGACGGACATGGCCCAACGCTGGCAGTTCCCGATACCCAACCCACATCCACGGTTCTGCACTGGAAACGGCCTACGGCAAAGGGCCTCCTTCTACAGGTGTAGCCCACGAAGGCGAACTCGGGAGGTCGGGGCTCACTCCCAGGTGTGGGAAGAGGAAGGAAGCGTGTGCCCACGTGCGACCTGGGGCACACGCGTCCATCGCAGCACGGCCGTACAGAGCGGGGCCCCCACAGTGTGCAGAGGTCGCAAGGAACCTCCAGGGAGCGGCAGAGGAGCCTCAGCAGGGCCGAGCGTGGGGGCCGGGTGAGGGGCACAGGGCTTGTATGACTGCGCCCTGGAGCGGGCGAGCGCGGGCAGAGGCCGCCGGCCTGCAGGAGAGAACCGGGGGCGGGGGGGGGGCTGAGAGGTTTGGGCTCTTTGGAAGGTGACAGTGCTGCACAGCTGGCTGTGGCCACGGCGGCTCACGCCTGTCCCCGGCACCGACGGCCTCGGCCGCAGCACTCACACGACTCCGGGGCGGAAGTAGCTGCAGAAGCAGGCGGACTCGTGGCCCTGCGCCTCGCGGTGCTGCACGCACGGGCTCTCCAGCGCCTCCTGCAGGCGCTGCACGGAAGCGGCCGCGGCGCCCTGCGCCTCCAACGTCGCCTCCTTCCCGATCCAGTAGTGCAGGTCGCTGAGCGCGCCCTGCTGGGCCTTGGGGCTCTGAGGGACCTAGGGCCCAGGGTGTGGGTGTGGTCAGGAGAGGGGGCGGGACGCCGGCAGCCGTGGGTGGGTGCTACCAGGGAAGGGGGGGGAACAGGGCTGAGGCTGGGGGCGGCAGACCCCTCCACCCCCCACCCCAGGGAAGTGACTTGCCGGTGTCACCCCAGCCACTCACGTGCAGCACGACGTAGCAGTGTTGCTCGAAGAAGTTCCCGTAAGCCTGCTCAGGGACCGGCAGCATCTTCTGGTTCTGGGCCAGGAGGGTGCCGGGTGACAGCTCAGAAGTCCCGCCCCCACCCCCATGCGGCCACGGTGGAGGGGGGTCTCAGAGACCCCACACCCTGCCCTGCAGCGCGCCCCTCACCTCCAGGATCCATACGTGGAGCTCCCTGTTCCTCTCGATGGCCGGGAGGTCCTTGCTGTGGTCCATCCTAGGCCAGGCAGGGAGGAGGGCGGACACGGGGACAAGAGGCGGGGCTCTCAGCTCTCCCCCCCTTCCCTGTGCTCTGGGCTTTGCAGGACCCCTCTGCACCCCCAGGGGGCACACACACAGCTCTCCTTCACCACCGTTCCCAGGCTCTGTGCGACCCGGCACAGGTGCTGCAGACTGGCCCACGGGGGGCTACAGACAGGGTCCTGGCTTGTACGTGCGTGCGCTCTAACCATGGGGCTGAGCTCGCGACGGCGCAGGCAAACACAGTGGGCTTGAAACAGGCTGCACAGACACAGGCATGGCCGGTGTCTCGGGAGGAGGGGCCGAGTGACCCTGTGCCTCAGGTCTGTCCTCCTTCACTCCGCCCCCAGGGCTCCCCTGCACCTCCCAGGACCCTGGGGGCAAGGCTTGGCCATCCCTGCACCATGGGACTCCACGTCTACCCTAGCCCCTGCCAGTCTCCCGCTCCTGGCCTCGGCGTGGTGTGCATGTCCTCTCCCTGCCCCTCTCATCATCAGTAACACCCTGGGCTCTGCGGTCCCAGGATCCCGCGCGGTGTGAGGGCGGCGTCCAGGGCCCCGGGCCCTGGCCAGCTCACGGTACACAGCAGCAGTGCCCAGCCAGGTGACCGCGGAAGTGGGCTGTGTCCCTCACAGGACGCTGCCCTCCCAGCTCCAGCCAAAGCCGTGGAGTGTGCTGGCTCCGGTCTCCTGCACCACTGCCGGGCCCCAGCTGCCTTGCACTTGGCGGGCGCAAGACAAATAGCTACTGAATGAAGTGTCACCAGGACTGGACCGCAGGGCTGTGAATGGAGGAGGGAATACGGGCGCTTTTTCTGCACCTGGCACAGCCATAGCGGTTACAGCCATCAGTGTGACGCGGCTGACAGACACAGTGGCTGTGACACAGGGCGCCCAAGCCACGGTGACACATGACACTGACCCTGCAGCAGGCCATGGAGGGACAGGCAGAGGCAGTGTCCAGTGGCAGCAGCCAGTGACCAAAGGGACAGACAGATGGGCACCGTGAGATGCAGCGTGTGGGACAGAGTAAAACAGTGACTGGGTGACAGACGACTGGCTGGCCTCAGGACAGTGGCAGCCAGAACCTGGGGCGGGGGGCAGGAAGCTGGGACCTGGCAGGTTTCCCAAGCAAGATGGGAGGGGCCAGCATCGCCCCCCAGGGGGCTGGGAGGGTGCAGCTGGGGAGACACTCTCAGGCCACCAGAGCCCAGTACCCATGCCCAAGTCACTGTGTGTGCCTGCCTCCCAGCTGGGGTCTGGGACAACGGGCGAAGCCGCCCTGGGACCTCCTCCCTCTCCCACAGCAGTGCCGCCCCCCCCCCCCCGGCAGCTGTGGGCAGCTCCTCTCCGCTCTGGCGCTCTCCCTGACGCGGCCTCCCGGAGCTGGGACCCCCACACGGGCCCTCGGCTGCCCCGGGAGCCCCTGGTTTCCTGGCGGCACACCCCCCCATACCTTCTCATCACGGGGCGCCCAGTGGCTCCCAGCACACCAACCCCGACCCGGCCGCCACGCCCCCCCCCCCCACGGGCGCCCAGTGGCTCCCAGCACACCAACCCCGACCCGGCCGCCACGCCCCCCCCCCCCCCACGGGCGCCCAGTGGCTCCCAGCACACCAACCCCGTCCCGGCTGCCACCCCCCCCCACGGGCGCCCAGTGGCTCCCAGCACACCAACCCCATCCCGGCCGCCACGCCCCCCCCCCACGGGCGCCCAGCGGCTCCCAGCACACCAACCCCGACCCGGCCGCCACCCCCCCCCACGGGGCGCCCAGTGGCTCCCAGCACACCAACCCTGACCCGGCCGCCACGCCCCCCACCCCCCACGGGGCGCCCAGTGGCTCCCAGCACACCAACCCCGTCCCGGCCGCCCCGCCCACCCCCCCCACAGGGCGCCCCTTCCTGTCCTCTTCTCCCCCAACTCCCCTCCCAGTCTCCTGTCCGCCCAGGTGCGCCCTTCCTTCCTCCTTGGTACCTGCGCGGGGGGCGGGCCCAGAAGTGCCTTCGCCCAACTTACCGGAAGCGGGAGGGGCGGCCTCAGCAGCTCCAGGGGACGCTGGCAACCCCCCCCCCCCACCGCCACCCCCACCAGTTGTCGCTCTCCCGCCCTCGGGCTGCCCCAGGCTTCCCACCTGCAGGGCTGCTCGCTGCCCCGGGGCTCCGCAGCTGCTCTGATCCATGGCCCTCACTCTCCACCCCTTCCCCTCCCCCAGGGCCCCGAGCCCCCGCCCTCCAGGCCTACCTGCCGGAAGGCTCGGGCACCTGCCTGTGGGCGCGGGCCCCTGCAGGTAGCTGGAGCCTGGCCCGCGCAGGACACGCCCACTGCTCGGTGCCACTGCGGGCTGGGCCGTCAGACTGAGTCACAGCCGTTTGGGGACCCTGGCCGACTGCGCTCGACCCTTCCTCGCGTCCCAGCGGCCGTGTGGACCCTGAGGCCGGTGGGCAGCGGGGTGGGGGTGGGGACACTGAAATTTCCTCCCCGGAGGCCGTGGGGGATCTGCCCGGGACCCCAGGACAAGGCTGCCCCAGCAAACTAGAGGAGGAAGTGGGACCAAGGCTCCTGCAGTGGGGTCAGGCTCCGGGACAGCTGGCCATTGTAGAGGTGGGGGGCACCCGGGCTCCCTCTGGGGCTCTGCGGTTCCCTCCACCCCGCTCCAGTCTGGGCTCGCTGCCCAGCCTGGCCCTCCTGGGGGAGCCCTGATACCATCGTGGGAGAGGCCAGCCCCGGGCGGAGGACACCTCCCCCCGACTCTGGGCTGCCCCCTTTCCCACCTGACTGGGGCAACAGAATCTTCCAGGAACCGCAGGGGCAGAACCTCCCAGCCCGGGACCACAGTCGCCAAGGAGGGCGGCGCCGCTGAGCCTGCCCGCAGCCCCGCAGCCTTCCCCCGGTGCCGTCTTCACCCATGGGGGGCCCGCCCCAGGGGTGGGTGCTCCAGGACCGCTGCAGGACCCAGGCTCTGTCCTTGGGTGCTGCCACACGTGCCCTCGCGCCTCCTGTGATGAGTGAGCACGTCTGGCTCCGCCTGCGCCCAGCAGGATCCCAGGGCCTCACTCCTGCCCAGTTTTGCCCTGGGCCCCTTGGATTGGTCTTTGTCCCACCTGGCAATGGCACCTTCCTGGGGCACCGACGCCCCCCCACTGGCCGCAGCTGGGGCCGGTGCTGTCACTGTCTCCTCCCTCTCGCTGCGCCTGTCTCCTTTCTCTTCTGGTTTCTTCCCCAGGGCCAGTCCCCAGGCTGCACCTGCGTGGAAAGGTAGTGGCGCCCCTGCTGCCTCCCCAGCCTCCGGCCCCTTCCTCCATCGGGGTGGGACACGTCTGGCCCACGCGCGAAGTCTCTGGGTCCGGGCCTGACCACGGCAGCCACAAGCCGAGCGGCCTGGAAACTCAGTAATTCTGCAGCAGGTGTTTAAGTCGATCTTCCTGTGTGGCCCGCGGACGATGTTCCAAAGCACAGACAAGGCTCCCAGGCCTGCGACTGGTCTCCTCCGTGCGGACACCCAGCCAGTCGCTGGGGTCTCCCTCCCTCTCCACACCATGCCAGCCCGCTCCCCAGGAGGCAGCCTAAGCCGTCCTCTGTGGCCACCCTGGTGCCAGTGTCCATCCTTCCATAGTAGCCAAGAGCGACCCCCCCCCCCCCCCCCCGCTCTGTGCCTGTTTTTTATTCTGGTGGTGTGTACTTGAAATTCACCGTCTTCACCATTTCCCAGCATGCTGTTCTGTGGCCCCAGGGCACTCACCCGATGACCCTCTGCGCTCATCCATCAGTCACTCCATCCCCTGCCCCCAGGGCCCCTGGCAGCCACCATCCTGTTTCTGTCTCTAGGATACTGACAAACCAGAGGGAGGCCCTCACCCTGGCATTTCGCCGTCGTTTGGATCACGGCACCGCCCGGCTCCAGACTCTCACTGGCTCCGCCCTCCCTCCCAGGGACCCCTGAGCGAGCTTGCCTCACGAGCACCACGCCGGCCAGACCCCCTAATCCGCTGACCTCGGCCTCCTCGGGCACGGGCACCCTTACTGGACGGGCTCCCAGGGCTTCGGTGCCACTTGGTTATCTCTGCAGGCCTGGCTCACTGGGCTAATATTGACCCAAGCAAAGGAGTCGCCCTGAGCTGGCCCTGCCCCTCCAGGCTCCGCCCCCAGCCCCGTGGCCTGAGCCCAGCCCTTCCTGGTAGGTGCAGAGCACTGCCCCCTCCCCCCCACCAGGTGCCGGGTGGGACCTGGACAGCTGTGTGGGAGGGGCGGGCGGAGGCTGCTGGCTCAGGCCCACTGTAGGAGACCTCCAGGCCAGAACTCTGGCCACTGTCCTGCCTTGGGATTTAGGCCACAGGAGGAGCGGCTCCCCTGCAGGGCCACCTCTGATGACAGATCAGAGATGAGCCCCGCCCCCACCGAGGAGGAGCTGGCCCTGCCTGGCCCGCGGCAGCTCGGCCCTGTGGCTCTGGCCATCAGGACACAGCAGAGTCCAGTTCACCTCGGTGGCAGGCTGGTGGCTCTGGGCCTGGCGTCGCCTGCTGACCCCGGCCAGCCCTGGCACAAGGGGTTTTACGCCAGGCTGCTCTGAGGATTCTGTCGCAAGCCCGCAGTGTGCTTCTACCTGCCCGCAGTGTCCCGGGGGCTGCCTCTCCCCACCCACGCCTTGGTGCCGTCCCGCAGACAGTGGGACCTGTGCCAACTCGAAAGCACGGGGAGGGGAACCTCCGCACACCTGAATCCCAAGCGTCCTCCCGATGGCCTGTGCCCCGCAGGGGGCGTGGACGGTCAGCAGGACACTTCAGCACGCCAGGAGGCCGAGGGAGCCATGAAGAATGGTCAGAGAAGGGCCAGCAGGGAGGGGCTGCCATGCCTTTCCTCGGGGACGGGGGGGGGCACGCGGGGGCTGGCGGCTGTGTCTAGGTAGGAAGGCTCCTCGGCCGAGACCCACGCGTGTCCTGTGTGGTTTGGGTCGAAGGCGCAGGCCTGGCGGGGGCCCGGGTCCCGTGATAGGCGGAGCGCAGACCTGCAGAGTTGGCCCCACGGGCTTCGGGCTTGGAGGAGCCCCGTCTGCCGAATCGTGGGCGCCGGTGCACCTTGCTATCGGGATTGGGGTCGCTGTGAGGGTGGTGTCACGTGTGAGCTCCTGCCAGGAGTCCCTAGGGGGTGCACGGGGGTGGGGGAGTTGCTAGCCTTGGAGGAGGATGGCCGGGCCCAGGGCGTGGCCTACAGGGTGTTCCTGGTAGTGCCTTACCTTGAGGTTCCTTGCCACACATCGCCGACAGCACCCTGGCTCCTGCGCAGTGGCCAACGCTCGAGGTGCCACCCGCGGTGCCGGTGGTCCTGCGGTGGGGTTGGCACAACGGGTCTCTCTAGCTGCCACTGGAAGCCCATTGCTGCTGTCCGGGAAGAGCAAGCCGGGGGCTGATGGGCAGAGCGGTCTCTGGGCCTCCCCGGGGGCCAGGGTCTGCAGCCCGGCTCCATCGGCCCCAGTGCCAGTGGGGATGCCAGGGGACCGAGGCGCTGGCCCGGGGCTTGAGCTCGCGGGGGCTGGGGGGCACCGCGAGGGAAGCAGTTCGTACAGGAGACAGAGCAGTTTCACAGGTTTATTTTGGCAGGAAGGAAACCATCGCACACCTCGACTGACAGCACTCGGCCCAGGCAGTGCCGGGTTTGGCGCCCAGCAGGGGCTTCTCCCTCCCCCACCCAGCCCCACCCTGCATCGGCCCCCACCCGCAGACGCTCCCGGTGCATGGCCCGGGAACAGGCAAGAGCAGTGTGCAGTCAGAGGCGGCCGGCCGGCTCTGCCCAGGGCCCCGCGAGCCTGTGCCGTCCACTCTTCCTGAACCCCGCGGCATGCACGTCACGAGTGTTTGGGCACAGGCCTGAGGGGGTGTGGACTTCACCATCTTGGAAACGCAGGGTTGTACAGCGCCCCAGGTTACAGGCGACTCCCCCCGCACACTGGAGGTCCAAACGCACGCATCGGTGTCACGAGGGCACCCACCCTCAGGTCCCCAAGGCCACCTCATGAAGGAGCCTGCCCACCCCGTCTGTCTGTCGCCCGGGACAGGTGGCGTTCCTGTTCAGAGTACAGATGTGCTGTCGACAAACAGCTACCATGCGAGAACAAGACCAAGACGGGAGTTCAGAGGGGATGGAAGACAGGGCGTGACCACGGCGGGCGCGTCGTGCGTCACGGTGGCTGTGGCCGTGAACCCAAGGCGCCGGTCCCGGTCTCAGGGTCAGAAATCTGCGTCCAGGGACCGCGCTCTCACCTGGCTCCCAAGGACCCTGGCGCTCAGGGCGAGGTCGGCTTCCCTCTGGCTAATGAGCTGGGTGTCTTTTGGTAACGTGGGGGGTATATGGCACAGAGAAGGAGCTAACAGGTCCCCTTAGGTTTGAAAGCCCATAATTTAATAAAAGGTTAATAATTAAACGATAATACCCGTATTGACCATAAAAAACATAAACCCCAAACATTCACCTCATTTCTTGGCCTCATGTGACAATTCTATTGCTTCATTGACAGCTTGGCGATTAAAAAATATATCGATATCTTGATTATATACACAAAGCAGAATCAAGGGTGGAAACGAAAACGGAATTTTGGAGTGTGGTCGAATAAGGTGCCCAGACCCAGAAGCCTCAGCGGCTCGGCTGGCTCTCCTAAGACACTCTGGCTGCACCCCCCCCCCCCGCCCCCGCCAGCTCCGCCCTGGCTCGGGCAGGCCGGGGGCGGGGTTAGGCCAGCACAGGGCCTGGCCCAGGCCTGCCAGGCGCCTCCACTCCACCTGCCCCAGCGGAGCTGTCCCCCCAGGCTCGCTTCCTCTGAAAGACCCTCCCGCCCCCTCTTCCAGAAGAGGCCCTGGGGAGCCAAGCGAGCAGGGGTGAAGGCTCCGGCCCGGCCTGCTTCCACGTGGACCGCAACACGCCGCGACGTGCGGGACATTTAAGGCACGGGGTCGCTGAAGGACTGGATTTCCGAATGAAGGTCTGTGGCACGCCGCCCGCCTTCTGCGGGGATGCCCGGAGCGGGGCACGCGGATGGCTGGGTGTGGGACACTCAACGCCGGGCCACCTGCGTGCCCTCTGAATAAGGAACTTTGCTGAGGGCACGGCCGCCCGCAGACCTGGCTGCTGTCGGAGGACGTGACTGGCCGCTGGCTCCGGTACGTGTGAGCGGGGGCTCTCCACTCTGGGACCCCGGGTTCCAGTCTCCTCCGTGCCAGGGGCTCCCACGGGACTCCGGCCGAGGCCCAGGCCACAGAGGACGAAGGCAGTGGTGCCAACACCACAGGGCTCTTTTTCAAAATGATCTCCAAGAGCAATACTTCACAGACTTGTCAACAAGCCACGTGGTGCTGCTTCAACACCCACCCCAGGCCAGGCCAGGCCTCCCCAGCCCAGGCTGCCCAGAGGGCCCTGGCTCAGCAGCAGGGGCCTCCGCCCTACCCTGGGCCCGGCCTCCCTGGGCTGGGTCTTCCCGGGCCAGGCCTCTCCGGGCCCGGCTCAGCGGCAGGGGCCTCCGCCCCACCCCGGGCCTGGCTCATCAGCAGGCTGTGCTTCCGGGGAGGGGACCTGCAGTTGCACCTGGGCCCCAGGTCTCAAGGGACCACGGCCAGCCTCTCACAGGATCTGCTGTCGATGGCAACCAGAGAGAGCCGCATCTGTGTGGGGCGCTGGCCCTTTGCCATGGTACCTGTGTGCACGGCCGGTGGCCAGTGCCAGCGAAGGGACACGGCCGGTGCCGTCTGCGCTGGTGGGGACCCTGCTCCTGACCCTGTCCGACCCGCAGCTTAGCAGTGAGCATGTTCCGGGCATAGGCACAGTGGCAAAGAACAGTGTAACAGCCGCTGGACAGTTCCATTTGGTGGCAGCGCGGTAGCAGCAAAGTCCCCAGACAGCTCCGTGTCCAGCTTTTTGGAAAGGAAAGATTTAAAAAATCAATACCGTTTTTTTTCTTCTTCTTTTTGTTAATCCATCCCAGGGCTTGCGGGTTCGTGGTAACTGCTCTACCGACGGCGACAACGACAGACGGTCCATGGCAGTGGTGTGGAAGCGGAGTGACAGGATGGCGCCTGTCAGGGGAAACGCGACCTCAAGCACATCTGTCGCATCGCACAGACCGCGGGCAGCGCCTCCTGTTTCCTGAAGTGCGAGCACACAGCGCGGGGTGCTCCACGCGGAGTCAGCGGGAGCGGGGTCCAGACGCAGGCACTCACGCTGCGGGCGCCACGGCCTGCCGCGTGCCACACGCTGTCCCGGCAGAGTCGCGGCTGGGGGAGGCAGGCTCCTGTGACTCCCTCCTGCCTCGCCTGCCCCGCCCCAGCCCGTGACACACGCACACACACATGCACACGCACTCACACACGCATGCACACACACACTCACGCACGCACACTCTCCACCAGGTTCTAGAAAATTGTCATTTTCATCTTAGAGTCTCTAAGACAATAAAAGACTAAAAGATATCTGGAAATACGTCGTGTAGAAAAATCAACTCTCAGCTTAAAATAACATTCAAAAAGGCACTTCATCCTGTAGGAGAGATCTGGTCGCGTCGGCTGCTCCGAGCCGGGCGGACGGGGCTGGGTTGGCGGCTGGAGGGGAGACAGCTCAAAGGAAGTCCGAGAGAGAGCAAGCTTTTTTTTTTTCTTCCATTTTTTTCCCTTTTTGGTATGTTTTAAGAAAAAGCAAATCCAGTAAAATGCATGTTCCTTTATGAAATCTGTTAAAAGAGTTCTTTTTAAAATAGTTGCTTCTGTTCTTAAAAAAAAAAAAAAAAACCAGACAGGTAGGCGTGGCCACCTTCAGCCGTGGCCTGGAGCGCGGAGCATCCTGGGAGCAGAGGCCGGGCGGGCCCGGGGCCGGGGCTACCTCCTGCAGAGTCTGTGCAGCGTGCTGTACACGTCGTCCTCCCGGCTCAGGCCCTCGAAGAACGGGATGAGGTCCAGCAGCTCGGTGTCCGTCATGTCATCGAACCAGGACTGCACAGGCACCTGCAAGACAAGCGCAGGAGGCAGCGCCCGGGTCTGCTCCCCTGGACACTCCCCGCGGGCGCAGGGCTGCTGGGCGCACGCCCTCGGCGTCAGCCGCGGCCCCTCGGCGTCAGCCACGGCCCCTCGGCGTCAACCGCGGCCCCTCTGCCTGATGCAGCGGCTGGGAGGCAGCTCGGGCAGGCAGGGCCCGGGATGTTCCAGGATGCGCTCTGCCTCCCGCCGGTTTCAAAGGCCCCTTTCACGGTGCCAGGTCCCTGCATCCCAGAGCGCTGGGAGCTAAGGTGACACGTGGGCCGGGGCCGGGCGACACTCAGGTCGCCGTGCCGTGCTGCAGGGCAGACAGAGCTGAGAATCCCTCCCACGCTCAGCGGCGTCCGGTAAAAGCACAAACGCGAGCTCTCAGGGCTTCTGCAGCCAGGGGCACCCGCGGGACCCTCCCTCAGCTTTGGGTGGGGGGAGTCGGGGTGGGAGGACGGTGGTCATGGGGGTAGCCAGGAGTAGAGAGAAGAGAGCTGCAGAGGAGTTTGAGGAAACCCCAAAAGGGGCCCTTTAAACAGACCTACCGACAACCTAGCGCCACGCAAATCTGTGCAGGCAGTTCTCAGACACTGGCAGGACAGCTGGTGAAAGGTCATCCTCAGCGGAAAGGGAGGGAGACGCCTGCAGCCTCCTCACCACTGTCAGGCATCTGTGTCACCTACCGCCTGCCTACACCTGCCTACACCTGTCTACACCTGCCTACACCTGCCTACCGCCTGTCTACTGCCTGTTACCTGCCTACACCTGCCTACACCTGCCTACACCTGCCTACCACCTGCCTACACCTGCCTACACCTGTCTACACCTGCCTACACCTGCCTACACCTGTCTACACCTGCCTACACCTGCCTACACCTGCCTACACCTGTCTACACCTGCCTACACCTGCCTACACCTGCCTACCGCCTGCCTACACCTACCACCTGCCTACACCTGCCTACACCTGTCTACACCTGCCTACACCTGCCTACCACCTGCCTACACCTGCCTACACCTGTCTACACCTGCCTACCACCTACCTACACCTGCCTACACCTGCCTACACCTACCTACACCTGCCTACACCTGTCTACACCTGCCTACCACCTACCTACACCTGTCTACACCTGCCTACACCTGCCTACACCTGCCTACTGCCTGCCTACACCTGCCTACACCTGCCTACCGCCTGCCTACACCTGCCTACACCTGTCTACACCTGCCTACCACCTGCCTACACCTGCCTACACCTGCCTACTGCCTGCCTACACCTGCCTACCGCCTGCCTACTACCTGCCTACTACCTGCCTACTATCTACCTGCTACCTGCCTGCTACCTGCCTACTGCCTGTGGGCAGAGAGACAGACGCCCGTCTCTGGTCACAGCCGGATGCCTGCAGCAGCTGGGGCTGGGCCAGGCCAACGCCAAGAACCTAGAACTCAGCTGGGCCTCCCGCACGGCTGGCAGGGACCCACCTGCTGGCTCCCAGGGGCACAACCACAGCAAACGGGAATGGGGAGTGGGGCTGGAACCGGAACCCAGCCAACGTGGGCGCAGGTGTCCCGAGCGGTGTCAACTGCGACGCTACATGCCCGCCCTCTTCATCGACGGTTCCGGTGTCGGAACCAGGTACACGTGCCGTAGAACCCAAATAAACTCAAACCGTCGAGAGAAGAAAAGCAGCGGCCAATGAGCCTAGTGATGCATGAAGCTGGGCCGTCACAGCGCTCTGCCAACACGGCACTCTGGTGCAGCCGCCCCGGCACCCGCATCCCGCGCCGGAGTGCCCGTCCTGGAGGCTGGCTCTGCTCCGAATCCCAGCTTCCTTGCGGAGGGCATCCGCAGGGCGGCAGGCGATGGCTCCAGTGGTTGGTGGAGACCTGGAGGGAGCTCCAGGCTCCTGGCTTTGGCCTGGCCCAGCCCTGGCTGTCGCAGCCATCTGGGGAGTGACTCAGTGGTTGGAAGCCCTCTGTTTGCCACTTAAGTAAAATAAAATCAAAGAAATTGTAAAAGGAGTGGAGAGTGGGCGTGGCTTGGCAGGCTGAGCTTGCCACTCGAGACACCTGCAGGCCGGGGTTTGAGTTCTGCCTCTGCTTCCGATCCAGCTTCCTGCTACTGTGCACCTGCGAGGCGGCCGTGGTGGCTCAAGGACCTGGGCCCTGCACCCATGTGGGAGATCCAGACGGAGCTCTGGGCTCCTGGCTTCAGCCTGGCCCAGTGTCGGCTGTTGTGACCGTTTGGGGAGTGAACCAATGGATGGAAGACCTCTCTGTACCTCTCTTTCTCCGTAACTCTGCCTTTCTAGTGAATAAATAAATATTTTAAAGAGAAGAAGAAAGGGCGGGGCAGGCGTTTGGCGCAGCGAGCTGCCTCTTGGCTGCCTGCGTCCTGCACAGGATGCCTGGGGCCCAAGTCCTGGCTGCTCAGTCCCTGCTACTGTGCACCTGCAAGGCGGCCGTGGTGGCTCAAGTGCCCGGGTCCTTGCCACCATGCGAGACCGGACGGAGGTCCAGGCTCCCGGTGTCAACTTGGCCTGGACGTTGTGAGCATCTGGGCAAGGAACCGGTGGATGGAAGATCTCTACCCCCCAAACAAAATTAAAACTTTTTTTTTTTTTTAAAGGGAAGGGAGGCCGGTGCTGTGGCTCACTAGGCTAATCCTCCACCTGCGGCGCCGGCACACCAGGTTCTAGTCCCAGTCGGGGCGCCGGATTCTGTCCCGGTTGCCCCTCTTCCAGGCCAGCTCTCTGCTGTGGCCCGGGAGTGCAGTGGAGGATGGCCCAGGTGCTTGGGCCCTGCACCCCATGGGAGACCAGGATAAGTACCTGGCTCCTGCCATCGGATCAGCGCGGTGCACCGGCCGCAGCGCGCCGGCTGCGGCGGCCATTGGAGGGTGAACCAACGGCAAAAGGAAGACCTTTCTGTCTCTCTCTCACTGTCCACTCTGCCTGTCAAAAAAAAAAAAGGGGGGGGGGAGGAGTGGCTTTGGGACTCCGACACAGTTAAGAGAACAGTTGAAAGAGACATCAACCAGAGCGATGCACGGACCACGTGGCCCCGCGAAGCCCGCAGTCGAATGAAGAGAATCTTCCAGGGTGAGGAGGGCACAGAGCGGCCACAGTCCGGGATCGGACAACGTAAGGAGCTGCTCAGAGAGACGCAACCATGGAACGGCGTCTGTGTGGGGGTGCAGCCCTCCGGAGACACAGCACCAAGTGCGCTACAACCATCCAGTCAGATGAACAAGTTAGATATAATGCATTCGGAGTGTTTATGCAAATCACAGTTCACAAGGGCTGGCTCAGCCTAGCTGGAGCTCACTGCTTGCTGTGGTGTGGACGCAGGTGAAGCTGCGGAGTTCTGGCGAGCTCGGAGGCCCAGGCTGGGGCCCCGTGTAGTGGGCGGGGTGCCCAGGCCGTCTCTGAAGCTGCGGAGTTCTGGCGAGCTCGGAGGCCCAGGCTGGGGCCCCGTGTAGTGGGTGGGGTGCCCAGGCCGTCTCTGCCCCCGGAAAGGCTGGGCAGGAGGGCTCTCCCGCCTGCTCTGAGGGTCGGCTGCAGCCAGCGAGCCCTGGTGCGGGCCCTGTCCCCCCCACCCCCGACTTCCCAGGCACCACCGGGAGGCGCTGGTGAGGGCTGCACGGAGGGCTGTGCTCACCCCTAAGAAACCCTCCTGTTGAAGAGGTCACCCGGCCTCCCGGAACGCAGAGGCCCAGGGACGGGGTCAAGGGCACACAGACCCCTTCTCAGCAACTCAACTCCTACTGCTACACAGCTTATCAAGTGAGCCCGCCGGGTGCCACGCTGAGCCCTCCGGCGGCCTCCGACGCTCCCACGAGGCAGCCGAGGCTTCCGCCCGTGAGCAGGCCCGGAGCCTTCCCCCGCGGGCGCTGCCTGGGCAGACGGGCCCGTCCCGGGGAGTGGGGGGTACTTACTGCATTCTCGGGGTGGAAGATGTACGAGGCAGGGGAATTGTCCACGATGATCACTTTGCTCAGCTCCCGCCCAAGGCGGCTCAGGTCCTTCACATAGTTGCCACGGTGGAAGACGCACGACTCTCTGAAGAGCCGGGCCCGGAACACACCCCAGCGGTCTAGGAGGTCGGCCACGGGGTCTGCATACTGGGGAGAGGCGATGCAACGAGTGTGGGGGGGTGCCTGGGAGGACCCAGCCCCACCGACCGTGGCCGGATGCATGGTGCTTGGTAGACAGGGTGCACGGGCGTGGCAGTGCTTCGGGGCCCGGTTATCTTCCTGCTCGCATGCCCACCACGCACTGGCTTCTCCCTCTCGCCAGCCCACCAGGAATTCCTGCCAGCTGCAGCTCCAGAAATACCCAGACTCCACCCCCATCCCTCTCTCTCTCTCTCCCTCCCCCCCCCCCCCCCCCCCCCCGTCGGGGCCCTGGGTCCCTGGCGCCCCTTTGCCTGGAAGCTGTCAGTGGCCAGCAGGAAAACACATCTTATCCCCACACCCCTGCTCAAAACTGTCCCCTGGGGCCCCACCTCCCTGCCCTGTCCCCTAAGGGAGGCCCCCCCAGGTGTCTCTGGGGCCCCTGCCTCCCTGCCCTGTCCCCTAAGGGAGGCCCCCCAGGTGTCTCTGGGGGCCCCGCCTCCTTGCCCTGTCCCCTAAGGGAGGTCCCTGCCAGGTGTCTCTGGGGTCCCCGCCTCCCTGCCCTGTCCCCTAAGGGAGGGCCCCCCAGGTGTCTCTGGGGCCCCCGCCTCCCTGCCCTGCCCCCTAAGGGAGGGCCCTGCCAGGTGTCTCTGGGGCCCCCCGCCTCCCTGCCCTGTCCCCTAAGGGAGGCCCCCCCAGGTGTCTCTGGGGGCCCCGCCTCCCTGCCCTGTCCCCTAAGGGAGGCCCCCCAGGTGTCTCTGGGGGCCCTGGTGTTGGGAAGATGTCTTCCAGAACGGCAGGGAGGCGAGGGGCTGGCAGGCTGCACCGGGAGCAGATTTGGCTCCGCCGGGCTGGAGTGGCGGCGAGGGGAGGGTTGGGGAACAGACAGAGGTGCAGGAGGGCGCAGTTCAGGAGGAGAATCCGAACAATGCGAAGGCGGAGTGCCACCCGCTCCGGCCTTGGTCTGGCCCAGCCCTGGCCACTGCCGCTGTCTGGGGAGTGAACCTGTGGACAGAAGATTCCCCCGCCACCCGGCCCCTCCCTGCCTCTCCCTCTCCCTGTCACTCTGCCTTTCAAATAAAGAAACAAATCTCTATTTAAAAACACGGGTGGCAGCAGTGCTCGCCCTGCGCGCTATTCTCAATCTGCCTCGGGGCTGTTAGGGCCGGCGAGCGGGGGAACCCCTGGCTCTGCTCTCTCCTCCAAATCTGCGTGAGCGAAACAGCAGGACACGCAGGGGCGCCTGGCCGCCGTCAGTGGAGGAGAGGCCACCCAGGGCTCCCGTGCGGCCTCCCCGTCTGGGGACAGCCGGCTCCCAGCGGCTGCACACAGCTACTCCGGGGAGCATGTGTTTGAAGGGCGCCGTCACCATGGCAACCCAGAAGCTTTGCGGGCTGGCAGTGTGCACAGGGCCTGCATCCATCCCATCTGGGGCGGGAACCCGGCACCATGGAGACGGCATCTCCCCTCGAGCCAGGGGCTGCCTGACCCACCTTGGCCAGGCTGGCAGTGAAGAGCACGCACTCGAACAGCTGCCCCATCCGCTGCAGGAACTCGTCCACGTGTGGCCGCTTCAGCACGTACACCTGCAACGGAGGGCGCGAGCCGCTCAGGCGGCGCCGGGTGCCGGGAGGGAGGACAAGGGGGGCTGGGGCGGCAATTTAGAACCAGGGAGTAGGCAGGGGCTATGCCACTCGTTCAGGTCACACGTGTGTCTCGGCACCTGTCGGGGGTCCGGCTCTGCGGACACAGCCCGGGGCTGGGTGCTGTCCCGCTGGAGGCCAGGCCTGGCTGCTGCCCGCTCTTCTGAAGAGCACGCTTCCCTCACCGGCAGGGCCTGGGCGGAAGGGCAGGCCCCGCCACCGGGCGAGAAGGCCGTCTGCGTCGGCCTGGGACGCCGTCTGCGTGATACTCACAGGGGCTCTCCTGGGCGCAGCATGCAAACAGGCATGTCAGGGGGTGTCCCCAGCTGCCTCCGGGGCCCCAGGAACACGCTGCCAGGAGGGGCCTCCAGCCAGGGAGCCAACGGCAGGCTCTTCTAGACCGGCTGGGCAACGTGGGACCCCGAGGGCCAGGCCAGGCCCCAGAGGGTGGGCTGTGAGGAGGCCGGGCTGCAGCCCCCCCTGCAGGGCTCTGACGGCAAAGCTGCGACTAGAGACCGGTGAGCGGTAGGAGCGAGGAGCCAGTGACCGGGAGAGCCCACCCCCCAAAACTTGACATTAGCCACATCCCCGAAATAAGCACACCCACCGAGCCCCAGCCGGGCAGAAATACTGCAGAATGAACGGGGCCTACAGAGCGTCCCAGCAAAGGGCCCACTCCCCTCCCCGTGGGAGGCAGCCACGGAGGGGACATTGGGTCTGGACCCTGAAGATCCAACAGGAGCCCGCCAGGCCAGCCAGGATGAGGAGTGAGCTTCCAGGGCGAGGAAGCAGGGGGGGCGAGAACGGCAGAGCCTGCACGTCCGGCCCATCGCAGGGGCGGGGGCGCAGCAGAGGAAGGGGCTGGAGCTGCCAAGTCAGCACGTACAGAGCTCCGAACAGCACACGGAGCAGCAGGACAGACAGCAGGGGAGCCGGGGGGCGCTGCCCGCAGGGGGAGAGTCCACCCAGGACAGACAGCAGGGGAGCCGGGGGGAGTGGGGGGCGCTGCCCGCAGAGCGAGGGTCCACCCAGGACAGACAGCAGGGGAGCCGGGGGGGGGAAGTGGGGGCACTGCCCGCAGAGCGAGGGTCCACCCAGGACAGACAGCAGGGGAGCCGGGGGGAGTGGGGGCGCTGCCCGCAGAGCGAGGGTCCACCCAGGACAGACAGCAGGGGAGCCAGGGGTGCTGCCCGCAGAGCGAGGGTCCACCCAGGACAGACAGCAGGGGAGCCGGGGGGAGTGGGGGCGCTGCCCGCAGAGCGAGGGTCCACCCAGGACAGACAGCAGGGGAGCCGGGGGGGAAGTGGGGGGCGCTGCCCACAGAGCGAGGGTCCACCCAGGACAGACAGCAGGGGAGCCAGAGGGAGCCAGGGGTGCTGCCCGCAGGGGGAGAGTCCACCCAGGACAGATAGCAGGGGAGCCGGGGGGAGTGGGGGGTGCTGCCCGCAGGGGGAGAGTCCACCCAGGACAGACAGCAGGGGAGCCGGGGGGAGTGGGGGGCGCTGCCCGCAGAGCGAGGGTCCACCCAGGACAGACAGCAGGGGAGCCGGGGGGAGTGGGGGTGCTGCCCGCAGGGGGAGAGTCCACCCAGGACAGACAGCAGGGGAGCCGGGGGGAGTGGGGGGCGCTGCCCGCAGAGCGAGGGTCCACCCAGGACAGACAGCAGGGGAGCCAGAGGGAGCCAGGGGTGCTGCCCGCAGGGGGAGAGTCCACCCAGGACAGACAGCAGGGGAGCCGGGGGGAGTGGGGGGTGCTGCCCGCAGAGCGAGGGTCCACCCAGGACAGACATCAGGGGAGTGGGGGTAGCCGGGGGTGCTGTCCGCAGAGCGAGGGTCCACCCAGGACAGACAGCAGGGGAGCCAGGGGGGAGTGGGGGGCGCTGCCCGCAGAGCGAGGGTCCACCCAGGACAGACAGCAGGGGAGCCGGGAGGAGCCAGGGGTGCTGCCCGCAGAGCGAGGGTCCACCCAGGACAGACAGCAGGGGAGCCGGGGGGAGTGGGGGTGCTGTCCGCAGAGCAAGGGTCCACCCAGGACAGACAGCAGGGGAGCTGGGGGGAGTGGGGGGCGCTGCCCGCAGAGCGAGGGTCCACCCAGGACAGACAGCAGGGGAGCCGGGGGGAGTGGGGGTGCTGTCCGCAGAGCGAGGGTCTACCCAGGACAGACAGCAGGGAGCCAGGGGGAGCGGGGGCGCTGTCTGCAGAGCGAGGGTCCACCCAGGACCGGACAGTCTTCAAGTGCCAGAAGCAGGTGCTCGGGGGCCAGGACTCAGTGGGGACCTCCTGGCCGGAATGGGGTAGGCCTGGCTGTGGCTGATGCTGGGAGGGGCCGGAGGAGGAGGAGGGCCTCGGGTGGGCGCTCCGAGGAGCAGGGAGGCTGGGCTGGGCACCGTGAGATGCCGGTGAGGCTCCTGCAGGCCACAGCTTCCTTGCGCTGCTTGGAAAGCCAGCGCTGCCACAGGCAGAGGCAGGAGGCTGCTTTGGGAACTGTGGCGCCGGTGCCTCTGGCAGAGCAGGGTCCTGGGCCCGGATGCCGGCGTGCAGGCCCGCGTCCCCGTCCAAGTAACCAAGAATAGGCCCCTCGGGACCTGCACAGCCTATCCTGGATTACTTGAACGCGGCCACGGCCTCGCCAGGGAAGGGTTTCGGACCCCAGCCTTAGGACCCGGGTCTCCGCCGCCCAGCAGGACGGAGGCTGACGGGTCAGCAGCGGCCGCCGGTCACGTTCACGGTCGCCTTCTGCCAAGGGCTGCCTGCTCCCAAGTCTGGCCGTGCCCTGGGCGGCCTCTCTGTCTGTCTTGAGCTGAGGCAACACAGAACTGAGCTGTCCTGAAGCTGAGTCAGCGCACTCGGTGGTCTGCGGACGCTGCCTGCCCAGTGCCCAGCGGGCCGGCTCAGCGACGGCTTTTCAAAGCACGGAGCATGGAGGCGCCTCGCCCCAGGAGCTTCTGGGCAGCACCCCTGGGAGAGCAGGCGAGGGAGGATGGCGGGAGGGAGGCACTCGCGTTAGCTGGAGCCTGCGACTCTCCCTCGTGACCCCAGGCCACCCCTCCTTCCCTGTCTGCTCGGAGCTGGCTGGACACAGCTGCCTTCCAGGACCCGCCCGTCCTGCGGACACCCTACACTCCAGAGCCAGCGCGACCGCCCAGTGTTGGGGAGAGACGCCGTTTCGGCTCGAGCACCAGGAGGGCCTTTCCTGCCCGGCACGCGAGGCCAGGGACCTGTCCTCCAGGACGTCGGGCTGCGGGAAGCACGACACAGCCCCGCCCCCGGCTCCCGTTCTGAACACGGTTTCATAAACGACACTATTTCTGGAAGAGTTTTATGCAGATAAGGAGAAGAAAAAAACAGCACAGACAGCCCTGGGTGACGCCTGCCTGGCGACTGCCCAGCTGTGTTCACAGCAGCAGCTGAAGCCCACGCTCACGCCCTCCCCCACTCTCTCAGGTTGGGCACTGGCTGGAAACCCCACTGGACAGGGTGACCGGGCTGAGCGGCTGGCACGGAAGTGCCCCTCTCCCAGGGAACCCTAGCTTTTCTCTCCGGCCCGCGGGGAGAGCAGTGAGAGCAGCCGCTGGGGGAGTTAACTGGACCATCACGTCTGGCCACTGGGCGACACTGGACCTTCGGAAGTCCGCATCGAATCAAAGAGCTGCCTGAACTCGCGGCCACACCTAACATTCACAAACGGATGACATGTTTCCTTCGAAACTCAGTACAAAATAAAGCGAAAGAAGGCAGAAAAGCCATGGTGTTTGAGGTCAAAGGCCGCTTCCTTTTGTTGGAGGACATGATGCTGAGGTGGGCACCTGGAGACAAAGTCCACGGGAAATGCAGTCACTGGAGAAGCGCTAACTGAAACTCAGATTCGCTTCGATTCTTACCTGATGTATAGTCCCATCGATTTCAACCGGAACAATAAAATCAGCATTGCTAATAGGCTAGAGGGAAAAGAAACTATGATTACTACGCCTGAGAGAGGAAGGCAGGACTGGAAATTTTAGCCAGAAAAAAATCTCGCTGGGACCAGGGTACTGGGGACCGGGAAAAACGGCTGAGGAGGACGACGTGGGACGGCGCGGGGTTCCTGGAACTGGGCCTGAGCAGGAGGCAGCCATCTTTTCTCTTCTGAACAGGGTCGCGTCTCCAGCATCCAGGCCCAGTCTCTGACCTGGCCTCAACCACACAGGTGGCCCAGCCTGGCCAGAGCACGGGGCCCTAAGTCCAGGCCTGCCCAGAGCCCTCCGGTGGCCACCAGGGGGCGCAGGGGAGACAGCTCAGACTCCCCGCGAGGCTGCTCAGCAGGAGGTGCTGGGAACAGGGACCCAGAGCCCGGCCCAGGGCACCCCGGGGGCGGGGGACCACGCAGAGGCCACAGGCACGGCCTTGGGCAGGCTCTTCCATTTTCCGTGCCTGCATTTCTTCTCCTTTCACAGCCACAGGCATGGGTCTGGTGGGGGCCCAGGCTCCATGCAGCCCTGAGAATCTGATTTCACCCACCAGCTGGTGGCCTGATAGCCCCTCTCGCCCACCCCCAGAGGGGCAGAGCCGGCCACCTGAGTGTCCTCTCGCGGGAACACCCTGTCGAGCGCTGACGCTTCTGTTTAAACTAACTCGTGGGTGACGTCACTGGCGCTCTACGTCCCACGGCTCCTGCGCAGGCCGTGTGCTCTCAGGCCTGGCCTGAGAGTTCTTGGTGGAATTCCACAAGGTGGGTAGACAACCACGCGCACCCACCAGAAGCATCGGCCTGAGCAACGGGAGGCGGCGGTGGGAGGGAGCGCTGTGTGGGTGTCGGGGCTGGAGTCCCGAGCCAGGCCCTGCTGGGCCACCGCGGGACACACGAGCACGCTTCTGCAGTACCCACTGAGTGCTGCACCGCTGCTGGCGCCCGCCGTGCACCTGGGCTCAAGGTCACAGCTCGTCTACCCCCAGGGTCGGAAGGTCAAGGGTGAGCTCAGTATGTCAGACTTTCACAGCTGAAACACAGAATGGTGCTAAAAACCGCCTGACAACCGAGAGGCCACAGGCAGAGACTCGCGGGACACTGGGCAGCGAGGCCACCCACGAGTGTATTAGGAGCCAGCACTCATTCCCCAGGGGTCGGCGAGCTCCTGCCCCACCTCTCCGTGGGCTGGCTGGCGTGAGCGAGGCCGGGAGCTTCTAAGGGGAGAGGGCCTGTGGCTTCCAGCGCTACAAACCCGAGTGCCAAGTCCGAGCCCTGGAGAACACTCTGCCAGGGAGAGATGCTGCTCCCATCAGCTGTGGCATCAGCGCCCGCGGGGAGGCCCTGCCCCTGCGTCCAGAACTCTCTCTGTGGCCATGGCAACGGACTGGGAAGGGCTCTCCTCCAGGAAGCATCGGGAGCAGCTCGCCCAGGCCGGCCTCAGGGTGCTGGGCCACGGGGCGGCCCCTCCTCCCGGCCCCCACGCCCCTCAGGGCTCACAGGCCACCTCCGGGCTCACCTGAGGGCTTTCGGGAGGAGGAGCCACGAGGAGGGATGTCCTGGTAGGGGCTGCTGGGGCAAAGCCCCTGTGGCTTCTTGTGTGGCTACTCGGGTCTCTTCGACCCAAATGCAGGGCATCTGTTGTGTGTCCCAGGGAAGTGCGGGGGGACTAGGCTGGGCGGAGGTGGGGAGGAACACACATTAGCAGCTAGAGCCAGCAGAGCAGTGCCGCGGCCAGAAATACCCCCGGGAATCAGACCCAGACCCAACCCGGCACCCGCTCCCTCCTGTCTCCTTAAACAGCTCATCGCACTGAGGAAGTGGGCAGGGCCAGCTGATCAGCTCAGCTCTGGTGGTGAGCACGGAGCTCGCTGGCGTTTTTCGCCGTGTTCCGGTGGGACGCGGGCGCGGGGCTTTCCCTGACGCCTCTGCCTGAGGGACGTCACGCGGGCGGGCGCTCCTGCCTGTCACGGACACGGTCGACATGCGCGGCAGAGTCGGCTCACCTGCCCTTGACTCTGGCAGACCTCTGCGGGCCTGGCCACCTTTGGAAACACGGAGCCGGGAAAAACTCCCAGCAGAGCGAGGTCACGTCCAGCTTCCAGCTGTGCCGCCCTAGGAGCCCGCACCCCAGCTGGACAATGCAATGGCGCCCTGGGGCGCTGGCGGCCTGGCTGCAAAGGTGTTGGGTGGGGTGGGGGGTCGGCTTACGAAAGGCAAACTTATTAAGTAAAGCGAGGGCTCGGGGACCCGGCAGCCCAGCCGCGGCCTCCTCTCCTGCAGACGAGCTGCGTTAATATTCAACTGCTCTGGTTAACGTTCACCGGGAGGCTGGGATGTCTGCGGCCTCGCGCCCTCACCCCGGATTCTTCCTCCAAAACCCACAAATCAGGGGGGGGCCGCAGCCTGGAGTGTGTGTGTGTGTGTGTGTGTGTGTGACCGGCCTGGGGTGTGTGTGTGTGTGTGTGTGTGTGACCGGCCTGGGGTGTGTGTGTGTGTGTGTGTGACTGGCCTGGGGTGTGTGTGTGTGTGTGTGTGTGACCGGCCTGGGGGTGTGTGTGCTCGTGTGTGTTGATTTACCTTAAAGGAGCTGTGCACCAAGGTTTCATCTAGATCGATGACCACACATTTCTTCCCGTAGTCGAGCACGGTCACCTCGGGGAGGAGGTATTTAGCTGGTGGCTGAAGAGGAGAGAGGGAAGAGAACCCTGGTTATTCCCTTCTGCCGACGACAGCCTGATTCTCGTCTTCTGATGCTAACGGTGGCAGAAGTGACAGTGACACTGGAGTCCCCAGTCAAGCTCATTGCCGGGTTTCATGCAGACTTGGTGCCGGGAGTTCTAGCAGGCACGGTGCCACCATCTGAGTGGCGGTGGGCACCGGGCTGTGGCACGGGACGACTGGGGTTAGGGTATCAGCTGTGCCACCCCCCGCTGTCAGCTGGGGTCACAACCCCCACGGTGAGACTGCCGTTACCAGCTAGAACGGCGGTGACACCTGCGCTGCCACTGTCGTTACTGCAACGGATTCTACGAGAGCAAGTGTTTCATCAGGAATGGGTGTTTAACTGTAATAGCTGGCCGGCGCCGCGGCTCACTAGGCTAATCCTCCACCTGCGGCACCGGCACACCGGGTTCTAGTCCTGGTCGGGGCTCCTGATTTTGTCCCGGTCACTCGTCTTCCAGTCCAGCTCTCTGCTGTGGCCCAAGGGGGCAGTGGAGGATGGCCCAGGTGCTTGGGTCCTGCACCCGCATGGGAGACCAGGATAAGCACCTGGCTCCCGGCTTCGGATCGGTGCAGCGCGCTGGCCGTGGCAGCCATTGGGGGGTGAACCAACCGAAGGAAGACCTTTCTCTCTGTCTCTGTCTCTCTCTCTCTCACTGTCTAACTCTGCCTGTCAAAAAAAACTGTAACAGCTGCTCTTAACCACACAGGCCTGTTTCCCAGGGCCATACACTCCATTGACATATTTTCACGGTAATAGGTTAGCCTGTTTTAGGGTGACGCTGGAAGTACTTTTTTTAAAATTATTTTTCACGTGACTGGTGTTTTCTGAAGCTTGAGGAGAACCGGTAGGTCCAGCGTAAGGACGAAACCCCACAGTGACCCCCAGACCGGAAGTGGCCCGGGCGCAGCCGCTGTCCCGTGCTCTGAGCCCCGGATCCGGCCCTGGAGCTGGGTTCCGCTGCCCAGAAGCCCTCCTGGTCTAGAGATGGAGTCCTGGCGCGTGCAGGTACCCTCCCTCGACTGCAAACCTGCTGACTGCCCGGGCCGCGCCTCCTCCCAGAGGCGGCCAGATATTCTGGTTGCTCTGTGGTGCGGTGGCCAGCGTTGACCACGTGTCCCCTCCCTGCCCTGCGGGAAGGCCTGACTCTGTCGACCGCACATTCGGAGCAAACAAAGCTCGAGGGAGTGTCCGTCCCTGGCCACGGAAGGGCCGGCGGTGCACACGAAACCAAGGGGCCCTGTGTAGTGGCCGGCTCCCTTCCTTCCCACTGAGGCTGAACCTCCGTGGTACTGTGGACATCACCTGGGTCACCTGTGCACGGAACCGGGCAGAGGACACGCTGGGCACATCTGCGAATACCAGGATGCCGTTGGCAGAGAGGGTCCAGGGGGCTTCTGCCACTGGGCGCTGGGTGCTTCACCCTCTTCCAACATCGTCCAGAAGGAAACACCTTCTGGGCCCCACCTCCCTAGGCTCCACCAATGCTCGCAGGCAGCCCTCTGTGGTCCCGTGGCACGGGAGGGGACACGTGGCCAAGCAGCCTCTGTGGTCCCGTGCACGGGAGGGGACACGTGGCAGGTGCCTTAGAGCAGGCGTGCCACGAAGGACCCAGCCACGCCTCCATTCTTCATTATAATCGGGCCAGTCACAGGTCATTGGAAATAATTAAAAGCAGCTGGCAGCCGGCGCCGCGGCTCACTAGGCTAATCCTCCGCCTTGCGGCGCTGGCACACCGGGTTCTAGTCCCGGTCGGGGTGCCGGATTCTGTCCCGGTTGCCCCTCTTCCAGGCCAGCTCTCTGCTGTGGCCCGGGAGTGCAGTGGAGGATGGCCCAGGTGCTTGGGCCCTGCACCCCATGGGAGACCAGGAGAAGCACCTGGCTCCTGCCATCAGATCAGCGAGGTGCGCCGGACGCAGCGCGCCAGCCGCGGCGGCCATTGGAGGGTGAACCAACGGCAAGGGAAGACCTTTCTCTCTGTCTCTCTCTGTCCACTCTGCCTGTCAAAAAATAAAAAAAAAAAAAAGCAGCTGGCAAGAGAGGTCTCAGCGCTGTGAACAGGCAGTGAGCTGAGCCCAAGGCGGTGCCGTGGGGGGACTTGGGTTATTTCTGTTGTGGCCGAATGTCACCAGAGTACAGCTTGCTCTGCTTCCCGCCACCTAGTAGGCGACAGACAGCTGGCATCAGGAAGAGTTTGGGCTTGGGCGACAGCACACAGCCACCGTCGTTTCTGTCCCCTCCTAGCCTGGCGAGGTTTCTATCGGCTCCTTCCCCACGTGTGCACGCATCACAAATACGACGCTGTGCCTGGCAAGCAGGCGACCTGCAATTCTCCGGCTCGCACTTCCAGAAACACCCACGAGCTGCCCAAAGCGGCTCCGTTCTTTCCCAAGCCCAAGATCACAAAGTCCCTCCTGAAGCCTGGCTAACCCTGCGGGACACGCGTTCTCGGCGTCCACAGGAGCCCGAGCCCTCGCGCGCTGTCCGAGGGAGAGAGGGTGAGGCGCGCGTCAAGCGAGCGCTGACTTTCTGCCGAGCGCAGAGCACGAAGCCGAGCTGGTGGGCAGTGGGCTGGCCGCTCCCTCCGCCCGCTCTAGATGCACACAGCTCTGAGCTCGGCTTCGGTTCACACGCGTTCTCCAGCTCCTGGCTAAGAAGGCTCTGCCCAGCGCAGGCCGTCACCACAGGGCTTTGCAATTCCAACGCAGCGGTGCAGGTGGTGCCAACTAAAAGATGCCCTGAACCAAATTCTCCCTGAAGAACGAGAGAAACACTTGGAGCGAGGAGGGCCTTTTCTGTGTGGAAAGCAGCTGCCCACAGGCACAGGGAGCGCCCGGCCGGGAGGCAGGGTGGGGGTGGGGCTGTGAGCTGCCACCCACGCCGTGGGAAGTGATTCGTGGCAGTTCTCTTCCTGGGAGGACCTCTGAAGCTTCCTGCCTTGGCCAGTGACCTGGCAGCGTGCATAGTTTAACGCTAAGGTTACTTCCTCCGCTGTACCCACCCCACAAAGCTCGTAAATCTTGCAGATCTCGGCCCTCTTCCTGGAACGCGCGGTCACTGTTTTCTTACTGAGGGTTTCCCAGGCCCGGGGCTGCAGCCGCTCTCCAAGCCTCAGCGAGCGGGGCAGAGGTCGGGCCACGTGAAATCCGGCTGAAACCAGAAGCGCGCCGTGCCGACCTGTCCTTTGTACCGCTGCCTCACTCCGAGTCTCAGAGCGCACAGACGCCGAGCCCTCAGGAAACACTGCTCTCTCGCCGTCACCATTTTCTCCTGTTTGCGGCATCGGCGCCATGTGGGACTCGGGCGAGAGCGTGGCAATGGCCGCAGCCCCGGCGCCAACACGCGTGTGCTGAGCGCGGGCCACGGGCACCCAGACCTCTGACCTCTGCGGTTTCCACACCCGCTTCTTCCTCTGCATCTTGTCTTAACGGTTTGTTTGTTTGAAAGGCAGAGTTGTAGAGAGAGGTAGAGACAGAGAGGTCTTCCAGGCGCTGGCTCACTCCTCAAATGGCCACAATGACTGGGGTTGGGCCAGGCCAAAGCCAGGAGCCAGGAGCTGCTTCTGGGTCTCCCACGTGGGTGCAGGTGCCCAAGGACTTGGGCCAACTTCTACTGCTTTCCCAGGCCACAGCAGAGAGCTGGATCAGAAGTGGAGCAGCTGGGTCTCGAACCAGCGCCCATACGGGATGCCAGGCTGCAGATCGGGGCTTTAACCCGCTGTGCCACAGCGCCGGCCCCCCTCGGCATGGTTTCCTCACCCTCAGCACCTGTTACCAAACAGCCCAGCCAGCTTCCCAGGAAGGGGGGCCCTAAGTAAACCCAGCCCAGGGCTGAGGAGCTGAGAGACGTGTCCCAAGGGGGGACCTTCCATGGTCCACACCAACGTCATTCCCGGTGGGCGTGAACCTGGGCTGGGACACCGCGCAGCTGCTGGGAGAAGAACGCTGACTCTACCTCCTGCCTTCTACCATCAGGAGTTCTGAGTGGACCACAGACTTCAGCTTCAGGGTGAAACTCTTGGGAAACCGTAAGGAAGCGTGGTCCACAGCCAGAGAGCGACTCAGCACAAAACCCAGCAGCTCTGCAGGGCAGGAGGAACACGTTTATCCAGGCAAAATTAACACGTGGTCTGCGGCCAAGATGATTACAAACAAGGCCAGTTTATCAGAAAGTTGGAGAAAAGTGCTGATTTCCTTTAAATTTCAGAAGACAATACAGGGGCCAGTGCTGTGGCATAGCGGGTAAAGCCGCTGGCATCCCATATGGGCACCGGTTCTAGTCCCGGCTGCTCCACTTCCCATCCAGCTCTCTGCTGTGACCTGGGAAAGCAGTAGAAGATGGCCCAAGTCCTTGGGCCCCTGCACCCGCATGGGAGACCCGGAGGAAGCTCCTGGCTCCTGGCTTCAGATCAGCCCAATTCCAGCTGTTGCAGCCATCTGGGGAGTCAACCAGTGGATGGAAGACCCCTCTCTCTTTCTGTGCTTCTCTGTAACTCTTTCAAATAAATAAATTAATTAATTAAAAAAAAAAGGAAAACCTCGCCTCCCGTTGAGCAATCGCCGAGTCTCTTGAGGTTCCCAGAAAAGGTGGGAAGATGGAGGAGCGGCCCGAGCCGGGTCCGGGGGCCGTGCCGGAACCCGGGCCCCACCCGAAGGACACAGGGCTGTTTGGAAGGCCTTGCCTGGCAGCGACAGCTCCGCGGGGTTTCTTCTGGGAGTCAGCCCCTAGCGTCTGCTCTGGCTGGAAGACAGGGCCACCTGGGGACAGTGGTCTTGGGGGACAGGGTCTCCCCCAAACTCCAGGCCAGAAAACAGAAGTGGGGGGACACACAGGGAGGCGTTGCCTTGTGGCGTGGCGTGGGTCCTGCCAACTCAGGACAGAACGAGGGTGATTTCTCTGATCTCAGAGCTGCAGGCGGGCCACCAGCAGTGCTAAAATCAAGTCAGAATCGGCCGGCTCGCCGGGGCCCGGCTTGCCGAGTCCAGCTGCACTGGGACCGGACCTGCTGCAAAGAACCACGGCTGGGCAAAGGGGCGCCCAGCCGCGTCTGTGGCCGGGCCCTCAGCTCATGAGGACCTGCGGGCCCTTCCAGAGTGAACACAGTCGGGAACTTGGTTAATGAGTGCTGAACCAGGATGCTGTCTCTGTGTGGGGGCTTCCTGCGTGCAGTGTCAGATGGAGCTTGGTTCTGCTCTGTCACACGGCAGCACTGTTTCTACCACAGCGGTGGGACAACACAAGCACGAACACTAAGAAAGACTGACAGTCGTAGGTCCAAAGGCACAAGGTTCTGTGATGGTTTTAAAAAAATTGGATAAGTATACATACACTTGGAAGGGGAATGACCTGCCTCTGGTCACCCTGAGGAAAAAGAAAAAAAAATCAGCGTCAGGCTGGAGGAGAGACCCAAATCCTACACAAACCGATCCAAAGCCCTCTGGGGTACCTACAGCTGCCCTGGGCGTGAGTTCCCACTCTCCGCACCTTCGAGGGGTTCAAGGCATGGGGGACCCCAAGACCACCCACAGTCGGGGCACCGGGCTCTATACCCCTCCCCAGCACCCGTACCCCCGTGAACCAGGCTGGATTCCCACGGCTCAGTGCACAGCCTGTTTCTTTTAATACTGCCTCCCTTCCTCCCAGGAAACCCATCCCAGCTTACAGGCACAAGTGAAAACAAAAATGCTAACCCGACCCTTGCCCGCTGGTCCCAAGTGGTTTGCTTCCGCTTGTAAGCAGGGCTGTCCCTCCCACGCCTAAGCGCATGCCCTCCGCAGGGAAGTGGAGCTGGGGTCCTCCGGGGAGGAGGGCAGAGCCTGCACTCCCAGGAGTGCTAGCGGGTTCCGGCCCCGAGGAGAGTCAGCCATTCCCCAGCTGGCTGGCAGAAAACACGTCTCGGCGTTGTCAAACGCTAAGAGCACGCTGGCCTCCACTGAGTGGGTCCAGTTCCGGGGCTGCCTCTGCGAGGGCTCCCTGTCTCGCGTGCGCCTCGCCGTGGCGGGCGGTGGGCACTGCTCGACATTTCCTGTTGCCAGCCCGAGGTGCTCGCCTCTGCCGTGTCCCCGCACCCGGGCTGCATCGGGGGATGCTCTGCACGGCCCTCCCCACCTGCGGGAGGCTTGGGGGTCCGCCTGGGCCTGGAAGCCGCCTTCTGACATCACCGAGCGGCTCCATCACACCGCATCCGGGCTGGCACGAGCCGGGGTGGGGGGGTTCGGTCCAGAAGCTCTGACATCGGGGCTTCCAGCGCCCGCAGCTGGAGCCAGGCCGCTGCCCTTGGTGGGGACGACCCTGAGTAGGTCCTCCAGGCCACAGCGCTGTGGGGGCCGCTCCGCCTGCAGGGTGCACCGCGGCACCCCAGACGCCAGTATGCTCCACCAAGGACTGATAGCAAAGGTGTCTCCACGCAGCCTCTGGTGGGCACACCTCACCCCGCGGAGACAGCAGACAGCCCCGGCGGGCAGGCGCCCCGTCAGAGCCAACTTCAGGTGCGGGGAGCACACCTGCGGTGGGAGGGGCCACGTCTGAGGGTGTGGTGAGACACCGGCTACGGACAGTGAAGGCGCTGATCTAGGTAAATCTCTGGGCTGGATTATAGCTCGGCCATGCACCTAGGTGTGGGGTAGGCACACGTCCACGAGTGTCCAGCGATCTCTCGGACGCCATCCCTGCCTGCAGACCCAGAGCGTGGCCGTGATCCCAGGAAGGGCCGCCACCCCAGGCCACTGCTGCAGAAGCGGCTTGAACACCTTCCTCCACGGCAAAGTAAATGTTCAGGATGAAGGGACCCCTGGCCTCACCCGTGCTGCCCGCCAACCAAGAGGCAGGCACCCCTGGCCTCACCCGTGCTGCCCGCCAACCAAGAGGCAGGCTCCCCTGGCCTCACCCGTGCCGTCTGCTGTCCGAGAGGCAGGCACCCCTGGCCTCACCCGTGCCGTCTGCCATCCGAGAGGCAGGCACCCCTGGCCTCACCCGTGCCGTCTGCTGTCCGAGAGGCAGGCACCCCTGGCCTCACCCGTGCCGTCTGCCGTCCGAGAGGCAGGCACCCCTGGAGAGGGAGCGGCAGTCCGGTCTAGAATCTCTCCTCATCCAGCCGGCCTGAGCCTCGTGTTCTGGGTCCTCATAAAGCTACATGCAGGGGGCGGGGTCCTCCTCTGGACACGAGCCTGTCCCCCCACCCAACACGGGCTCTTGTTCTGGGGTATGGTCTCACAGACTGAACGGCCATGTGTCACTCGTGTGGTCTCACAGACTGAACGGCCACGTGTCACTCGTGTGGTCTCGCAGACTGAACGGCCACGTGTCACTCGTGTGGTCTCACAGACTGAACGGCCACGTGTCACTCGTGTGGTCTCACAGACTGAACGGCCACGTGTCACTCGTGTGGCCTCACAGACTGAACGGCCACGTGTCACTCGTGTGGTCTCGCAGACTGAACGGCCACGTGTCACTCGTGTGGTCTCGCAGACTGAACGGCCACGTGTCACTCGTGTGGTCTCACAGACTGAACGGCCACGTGTCACTCGTGTGGTCTCACAGACTGAACGGCCATGTGTCACTCGTGTGGCCTCACAGACTGAACGGCCACGTGTCACTCGTGTGGTCTCGCAGACTGAACGGCCACGTGTCACTCGTGTGGTCTCGCAGACTGAACGGCCACGTGTCACTCGTGTGGTCTCACAGACTGAACGGCCACGTGTCACTCGTGTGGTCTCACAGACTGAACGGCCATGTGTCACTCGTGTGGCCTCACAGACTGAACGGCCACGTGTCACTCATGTGGTCTCGCAGACTGAACGGCCACGTGTCACTCGTGTGGTCTCGCAGACTGAACGGCCACGTGTCACTCGTGTGGTCTCGCAGACTGAACGGCCACGTGTCACTCGTGTGGTCTCGCAGACTGAACGGCCACGTGTCACTCGTGTGGTCTCGCAGACTGAACGGCCACGTGTCACTCGTGTGGTCTCGCAGACTGAACGGCCACGTGTCACTCGTGTGGTCTCGCAGACTGAACGGCCACGTGTCACTCGTGTGGTCTCGCAGACTGAACGGCCACGTGTCACTCGTGTGGTCTCGCAGACTGAACGGCCACGTGTCACTCGTGTGGTCTCGCAGACTGAACGGCCACGTGTCACTCGTGTGGTCTCGCAGACTGAACGGCCATGTGTCACTCGTGTGGTCTCGCAGACTGAACGGCCACGTGTCACTCGTGTGGTCTCGCAGACTGAACGGCCACGTGTCACTCGTGTGATGCATAACCCTCACTTCAGATTTAGCTACGGTAGCTCAAAGGCCAATTTAATTCTTTTGGAAAGTCGCTCTGGGGGCTGGCACCGTGGTCCAGTGGGTTAAGCCACCACTTGCAAGGCCAGCATCCCACGTCGAGAGCTGGTTCGTGTCCTGGCTGCTTCGCTTCAATCCAGCTCCCTGCCAACGCGCCCAGGGCAGCAGAAGACGGTCTGAGGACTCGTCCCTGCCACCCACACGGGGAGACCTGGGTGGCGTCCTGGCTCCTGGCTCCTGGCTTCGGTCTGTTACAGCCACCTGGGGAGTGACCCAGCACACAGATCTCTCTGCCCCTCTACCTCTGTCCATCTCCGTGCCTTTCAAATACACAAATCTTCTGACAAAGCCACCCTGACAAAGCCGGCAGAAGACGTCCACGGATGAACGAGAAGCAGAGTGCAGCTCTGTCAGAGGGGCTGCCTTCGAGGGCTTGTACTCGCTGACAGATTCGGCGAGCACTCCGAGAGTGCGCGGCCACGCGGTGCCGTGTCCTCAGGCCACTGCCACAGGCGCTGCCGTCAAAATCCAGGCTTGCTCGGACAGCGTGGACTTCTCTCTCTTCCTCTTCCGTTGGCCTACGTGCAACCCATGCTGCCGTCACTCCTGGCAACGCTCTACAGCAACAGCATTGTTTATTTAAGAGAGCGAGAGAGAGAGAGAGAGAGAGCGAGAGAGGACAAATACCTGCTTCCCACCACCCGCAGGAGCTGGGCTGGGCCAGATCAAAGCCTGGAGCCGGGAGCTCCACCAGGTCTCGCACAGGTACCTGCTGACTGGGAGCAGAGCAGGGACTTGAGCCCAGGCACTTCTATACGGCAGCGGCTGCTCCAGCAACGGTGTTTTCAACTGGGGACTAGAGGGGTGACAGAGGCACACGGAGGGGACAGCAGGTGCGGGGCTGGGATCCTCACGCACCTCCCGTCCGTCGGTCCGTCCACACCCACGGAGACAGAGCAGGACTAGCACCTGCCGAGGCCAACTGCTCGCCGTTCTTTCCTTTTCAGGGACTCTGTTATTCCTGGATGCTTTCTTCCACAGGAACCTGAACGGTCCACCAAGAAGCACAGCTTGTTTCCCGTAGACAGGAGCTCCGTGTCAAGGCCTTTCAACAATCTAACCCCTTTCTCGTGGCCTTTTCTGGGTTTCCAATGTAAATAATCATGTCATGTACAAGTGAGACACCTTGCGTCTTTTCCACATTGAGGCCAATTACTTCATTTTCCGGTCTTATCCTATTAGCCAGCCCCTACCAGTGATTCCCCGTGTTGCTTGCTGCTGCTGTTAGAGGGTGGCCTTTTACTGTGCTCAAGGACTTTTCCTATATTTGGTTGCATTGTTGATTACACACAAAGTTTTACAGACTATTCCATACTTCATGTATTAGACCTTTTGTTACTATAAAATGTCCCTCTTATCCTAATGCTTTTACAACTTATTTATTTTAAAGATTTATTTACTTTATTGAAAGGCAAGGAGAGAGAGAGGAGGGGAGCGGAGGGGAGGGGAGGGGCGAGGAGAGGAGAGGCTCTGTGGGGAGCAACTGGGAGCAACCCGGACTAGACTAAGTTACTGGAATTAAGACTTATTCTATGCATCTGCTCTCCCACAATATGGCGCTGGGAGAGAAGAAAACAGCTTCTACACAGCTGCCTCCAGTTCAACCAATAAACAGCAGGACTTGCTCCTGATTGGAGGAGAGCAGCGTACTCGGCGTGTGGGTAGCAGAGTTGGGATTGGTGGAAGAGGACTATAAAGGAGGAGAGAGACAACATGCACCAGGAACATCTAAGGGGAACATCTATCTAAGAGGAACACCTGTGCAGCCCCCGAGAGAGCCGGCCGGCGGTGTGCCGCTCCCCCGCAGAAGTGGGGAATGTGGCAGGGGGAACCGCCCTTCCACGGAGGTGGAGGGGACAGTAGCCAACCTGGGAAGAACCAGCAGCAAACCCGGGGAGGGCCGAGCAGACAAAAGAACAGCGCAGGGTCCTGTGTCGTTCCTCCACGAAGAACGGGGAGCGACATAATGGTGCCGTGACTCGGATATGAAGCCTAGGCAGGGTTCAGTGTCGTTCCTC